GATAAAGCATCACAATGATGGTTGGTCGCTGTGTTCTTCTACAATTAATTTCTTTAAAAATGAGATCTATATAACTATTGGATATTTTTATTAGTCATTTTAGAAAGAAAAGAACATCTCAAATGTTTAGTTTTTTGTGTGTGTGTGTGCGCGCGCGCGCGGGAGAGAGAGAGCCATCTATATATATATATTGATAATCGTGAGTGTTTGTGCTAACTTATCCGCACTTGAATTAATCTTACAAGATTCTGAAGTTAATGACCGATATACTTTCAGTGACCTTACAAAGACTCAAATTAATGACCAGCAAACTCAAAAATATGATAAGCTGAGCTACCCGCAGAGTTGAGAGATAGCCAACCATGCCAGCTCTAAGTTGCATATTTTTTAATATATGTTGGTTAGGTAAGATCTGCTCCAGCCAATTATTGGAAGAATAAGAGTCAAGTTATAATATTATTCAACAACTTTGGTACAACTACCACCATTCGTGTGACAGACATCAATAAAACCTAAATATATCACCATATATTATCATTAAGCCAACTAACTATGATTCACAACTCACAAATATTCATTTACAGGCGTCATTTGCCAATTTCAAACACAACTAATGTGATAAAGGAAGAATAAATTATTAAATAATCATGAACTATTGAAATTTGATAAATCAGTCCAATTCCGATTAATAAGATAACTCCACGATAATATATTAATATATTACAAAAAAATCTCAACATAGAATATCTCAAAAGCTTAACAGTTGTGACAGCCCGTTTTGAATGAGAGTATCCACTTGATAAATGTGCTTTTATAAAAAACCCTAAAACCTTCCGTTGTGCCCACCTTTGTCTTTGTGGCATTCACACTCATAGCCACTCAAAATACCACACCCAACATAGAAGAAGAGACATTGACTCGTTAATTGAAAAAAAAAAAAAACACATGTACGATGATGAAACAGTTATGTGTTCAAAATAATAAAATATAATTTTGAAAATTGGAGCATGAAGCATATGGCTCATTTTTTTAAATGTGTGTATGGTTGGTTAGGTGGATACCCACTCAAAAAAAAGAAAAAAAGAAAAAAAAAAAAGACATGGTTATTGATCCCCCACATGGATAATGAAGAACAATTTAGTCAATTTTGTGGACCTGTCCTTTTTGACAGGAATTCCCTAAATATAGAAAAAAATTGCCAACCTCAATTTCCTCCCACCCACCTCCATTCTCAATAACCCTACGGTCACAAAAACCTTATCTAATTTAAAGATAGAGAGAAGGTGTGCCTGTTAGAATCAGAACAATATCAACCACGTCCTTGATTCCATGAATATACCAAAAAGTTAAGATTCAAAACATTATGGGAGTAGTTTGGAATTAATTTCATTGAACACTGCATTTTCTTTAAATTTGTTTATCAATAACGTGATATACCTGACTGCCTTTAATAAATTTCTTATTTTTTTGTTGTCAACACTCCAAAAGATAAAATGAAAACAAAAATTACTTTCAATAATTAGTTTTTATTTTTTATTAACAGAAAACGTTTTCAATTTTTGTGAAGAAAAGAGAAAACATAAAAAAAATGTTTCTTATGTTTTCGGCACTGTATCGCTGAAACGTTTTCACTGTTTTTACTACAGGGACACTATTAATTTCAAATAAAATTCATATTATTTATGTTATATACTAAGTTACATATTAAATGTTAATAAAAATATATATTTTTAATATAGGATATATTAAATATTGTACATTATTTTTTATTTCATAAAAATATATTTTAATATATAATATATTAAATAATAATGTAAATTATTTTTTTGTGACAAAATACTTTTTGATATAGAATATAATGTTATTAAATTATTATACAGTAGATGTTTTATATTATTATATACCATTACCATATCTATATTATATTATTTGTAAATATTAAATTATAATTAATTTACAATATTATAACACAATATATATTTTATTACGTATAAGATATATTATTTAATATATTTTATTCATAATAAATTATCATATGCTAAATATATATATATATATATATATATATATATATATATATATATCACATAATAAATGTATACACCATGCATATACATGTATTATATACATAATTGGTGTTAGTGTTTGTGCCTTGGTATATCTAATTTTGTACTTAAGATGTATTTGGTATTATTAAGATTTGTAATTTTAAATTGAATTTTGTAGATTTATGACTTTTTGATACTAATGGAAGTAAGTGTCGTGACTGAGTGGTTGGGTTGTTTCCTGTATCCGAGAGTCCGTATTCAAGTCATCTATCCTACCCTTTAATCACTAACTCCTAAAATTCTTGTAATGAAAAAACTAAAAACTAAAATAAAAATTTTAAAAATATTATGTACATTTTGTAACAAATATGTATTACTAAATACTGTTATTGTTTTATGTTATCAAATTTATGGCAACAACAAATATTAATAAACATTATTATCGCTTTCTATTTTTACTCAAGAAAGCAAAATCATATTTTTACTTTTTGTAAAAATAAAAAACAAAAAAGTTATTGAACGCACCTAAATTTGTTCAATATTTATGCATCATTTTTTTAATAAATGAGCATGGATTTTTTATTTTTTATTTTTTATTTTTTATTTTTTACCGTAACAACATCTACAGCAAGAGATGCCTCAAATCTTCCACGCATTTGGAGCGCCGCATGTATGAATAATCTTAACCATCTACATTGATGTTGCAACACTAGATACGGTCATGGCGTAGATCAACCACACATTTAGAGTGCTCACATGTACTAATAATCTTAATCATCCAATGGTGTACACAGGATTGTGTGCATAGTGATATTTTTTCATATTTCAAAATAAATGTCAAAGTTTGAGTGTGCTAGTATTTTAAATATAAATATATATATATAATAATAATAATAATACAACAACTAATATTTACCGAAAAAATAAAAAATAATACAACAACTAATGCAACTATTTAGAATTTTTAATAAAATGGAAAATAAAATAGGATAAAGTGCAAAAAACTCTCTTCAACTATTGGCCATGTGCAATTAACCCCCCTGAACTACAATTTGCCCCCTTGAACTATTGAATTTGGTGCAATTGACCCCCAATGTGACATCTCCGGCCAATTAGTGTAAACGAAAATAATAAAAGACAATTTTACCCCTGTATAAAGCCACGTCGTTTCAGAAAATTTTAGCAACCACCAGCTAAAAAAATAAATTCTAAAAAAAAAAAAGAAAAAAATCAGGCCATCGCCGTGAGTCAACCATGGCCGAACCAGCCCATCACCGTTGAGCCCACCATTCGAGCTCGTCCCCACTGCCGTCTCTTCATTTGCAAGCTCACAGCCGAAGTCGCAACTAGCTCATCGCCGTTCAGCCGCAACCAACCCATCGCCGCGAGTCAACCATGGCTGAACCAGCCCATCGCCGTTCAGCCCACCTTGCTCGTCGGTCCTCTCCACCATCTGAGCTTTATCTCCGCAGCCGTCGTTTCATCTAAGCACCGCCGAGTCATCCATGGCCGAGCCACCGCTGAACCAGCCTGCCGATCTCACCGTTGCATTTCGCCGCTGTCGCCACTTCACTGCCGGTCCATTCCTCGCCAGAGTTACCATCGCCGTCCGGCCCCCCACCGGACGGATCACTATTCCTCCTGATTGACCAAAGCACACAAACAGAGACAAACAGAATTATACAATCATCAGTTTGTGCATATATATGTATATAGAATTACAGAAACGATATAGAGAGAGAAAGAGGAGAGGACAGAGAGAGTGCGAATAAATTGAGGAAAATAAACCCTTATCCTTTGAAACGAATTCTGAGTTGTGATATTTGTGGTCATCGGAGTCCAAGCTTGTGCACCTCACGGCCAAGAGTCATCCGTCTACACGACCTGCCTTCATCGGCTCCGCGCCGACCAAGAGCTCATCACATAGCAGCCAAATCTATTCTCACAGCTCTTTTCTTGTCTCCTCCAGATCCGCCGCGAGCTCGATCCACCATAGCCGGATCTATTCTCACCGGCTTTTCACTGCCATCAACATCCTTAAGCTTGCCGCGCTGCAAATCCAAGTCCAAGACCCAGATCTATCTCGCCGGTCATTTCCATCCTCACAGCCGAATCTGTCTCGCCAGCCATCTTCATCCTTGAAGGTGTAGTTGTGGGGACGGACGGGACGGTGGTGATGGTATCGTTTGTTTTATTGACGATGAACAGTGTGTATTTAGTATAAGGGCGTGTTTGGGTGTTTTAAGTGGTTTTGGGTGTAAAGGTAAAGGGTTGTATGGTCATTTAAAAAAATTTGGTTTGTCACGTGACCCATCACGTGCGTCTCCACAGCCAAAGTTAACCGGCTTATCACCGGAGAGGGTTAATTGCACCAAATTAATTAGTTTAAGGGGATTATATGTCAAATTAGTAGTCAGGGGTTAATTGCACAGGGCCAATAGGTGAGGGTTTTTTTTTTGCACTTTAACCAATAAAATATTACTGTAATAATTACAATTAAAATTTTAATATTTTGTGTGCGAGTCTGTGGACAGTGACGGGTCTGCTGAGGTTTCATTTTCTCTATTTCAAAACACAGTCAAATTCAAAGTAATAACTGAGTCTTGCTTTTTCCAACCCTAACCCTAGATTTTATACACATATATAACCTATACACGTGCAAATATGTATATATGACAAAAAAATATAGTATTTATCTATATATTGGTTTTAGCTCTTCAAGTTTTTTTGAGGTGAGAGATAGCGATAAGCCAAATGTGAAAGACAATCTGCCAACAATCTCACCATTCTATCTGAAAAATCAACCAAAAAAAAAAAATTCCTCCAAAATTTGGGATTTGATTATTATTAAAAGCATTTTGATCCATTGAATTTTAATCCATTTCGATTCAATCTCTTCCATACATTCATTGAATTTAGATATATATATATATATATATATATACACACACAACATTTTCGTTTTTATTCACTGTTAGACCATTGGTTCGCAGTTCCGATTGACACCAAAACCATCACGTTAGCAAACTCTGTCCTTTTCTTCTCATAGGTGCGCACTCTATCTTAACCTACGCACTCTTCACCCACCTCCCACCACCACCACCAGATCTTGAATTGATATATACATATATTTATTTATTCATGTGTGTGTGTATATATATATATAAGGAAAGAGTGCATTTTCATTATCAACAACCCACCACTCCCACTCACTCAGTCATGAAACAATAACAAAGCACAATTTTTTTTGGTACTATTTCATTAATTTGGAGAACTTTTTTGGTTTTGTTTTCAGTTCAACATTGCTGTTGAATTCAAAAGCTTTGTTTGGTTCTCCAGTTCTTGATTCATGGAACGTGCTCGGCGGCTCGCGAACCGGGCTCTGCTCAGGCGCCTGGTTTCGGACTCCAAGCAGCACTGCCCCAATGGATCCTTGATGAGTTCATCATCTCCGGTATCGAATTCGCCTTCTAGGTATGTCTCATCACTGTCTCCCTATGTTTTTCATGGAAAAAGTACTAGATCAGATGTGTTACTAGGGAGGAATGTGTCACACAATGTTGGTAGTTTTGGTATTGGGTCTCAAACTCGATCAATATCGGTTGAGGCTTTAAAATCTAGTGATACTTTCCCTCGACGCCATAACTCGGCAACCCCTGAAGAACAAACCCAAATGGCTGAGTTTTGTGGTCACTCGAGTCTTGATTCGTTAATAGATGCCACAGTACCTAAATCGATTCGTGTTGATTCAATGAAGTTTTCTAAGTTTGATGATGGGTTGACAGAGTCTCAAATGCTTGAGCACATGAAAATGTTAGCTTCTCAGAATAAGGTTTTTAAGTCATTTATTGGAATGGGATATTACAACACCTATGTTCCCCCTGTTATTTTGAGGAACATTATGGAAAATCCGGGTTGGTATACCCAATACACTCCGTATCAGGCTGAGATTGCGCAGGGACGTCTCGAGTCTCTGCTCAATTTTCAGACCCTGGTTACGGATCTTACTGGCCTACCCATGTCAAACGCTTCCTTGCTTGATGAAGGAACTGCTGCGGCAGAGGCAATGGCTATGTGTAATAATATACAAAAGGGGAAGAAGAAAACTTTTTTTATTGCCAGCAACTGCCACCCGCAGACAATTGATGTATGCAAGACTAGAGCTGACGGTTTTGATCTTAAAGTAGTTGTTGCTGACCTCAAAGACTTTGATTACAAATCTGGTGATGTTTGTGGGGTTCTGGTTCAGTATCCCGGAACTGAGGGTGAAGTTTTGGATTATGGGGAGTTCGTAAAGAATGCTCACGCTAATGGGGTCAAAGTTGTTATGGCAAGTGATCTCTTGGCATTGACAATGTTGAAGCCTCCTGGTGAATTGGGGGTAGATATTGTTGTTGGCTCGGCTCAGAGATTCGGGGTTCCAATGGGTTATGGAGGTCCTCATGCAGCATTCCTGGCCACATCTCAAGAGTACAAGAGGATGATGCCAGGAAGAATTATTGGCGTCAGTGTTGATTCTTCAGGAAAGCCTGCTCTACGTATGGCAATGCAGACAAGGGAGCAACATATCCGGAGGGACAAAGCTACGAGCAACATTTGCACTGCTCAGGTATGAGATTATTCTTGATTTATCAATTTCTTGTTTTCCGTTGTAGGCTGTTTGAGATGTGTTAAATCCCCTTATCAAATTTTGACCCTGGTTGATATAATTTGACTGCTTATGGTGTGTTCAAGCGGGGGTGTCATATATTATATTATACTGAATAATCTTCAGAGCCTTTTTTAAAGAAATATAAAGAGAAGAAAAGAGAGATTGAATGGTAAAAGTATAAACAAATCACTATTGCTTGACTTTCACCTCTGGAAACATTGTCACTCACCATTGGCTACACTGCATGTAAAATTTCCCGTCTGGACAGTAGGACATTGGTATATATTCTGAATTTAGTTGTTGGTCTTTCTTTAGTTTGGTGATTTCTTGCTTGTTGTGCAGGCATTGCTTGCAAATATGGCTGCGATGTATGCTGTTTACCATGGACCTGAAGGCCTCAAGACTATTGCGCAACGGGTCCATGGTCTTGCCGGGACATTTGCAGCTGGACTTAAGAAACTGGGAACAGTGGAAGTTCAGGGGCTTCCTTTCTTTGACACTGTGAAGGTTAAGTGTGCTGATGCAAAGGCAATTGCTGATGCAGCTTACAAGAGTGAGATGAACTTGCGGATTGTTGACCATAACACTGTAAGTTTTAATGATTGGATTTATAATCTTTGACTAATGTCAAGAGATAACTGTGAATATGGTTGGGTTTCAGATTACCATTTCTTTTGATGAAACAACTACATTAGAAGATGTGGATAAGCTATTTAAAGTTTTTGCATGTGGAAAGCCTGTGAGTATTGCTAATTCTATCTAATGAATCTGATTATCATTATACTACACTTTGAGTGCATATTTGTAAACCTTTCTATTATAACTATCAGGTGCCATTCACTGCTGCATCTCTTGCACCAGAGGTTCAGAATGTAATCCCTGCTGGGCTTACAAGGCAGAGCCCATATCTGACTCACTCGATCTTTAACTCGTATGATCCTTTTCAGTGAACTTCAGTTCTCATTAGTTTATATCTTATGAGCCAAAAGTGACTTCCATTTGATTTTTAGGTACCATACGGAGCATGAACTGCTTAGATACATTCATAAATTACAATCAAAGGATCTCTCATTGTGCCACAGCATGATTCCCCTGGGATCTTGTACAATGAAGTTGAATGCAACAACAGAAATGATGCCTGTGACGTGGCCTAGCTTTGCCGACATCCACCCTTTTGCCCCTACTGAACAGGCTAAGGGTTATCAGGTAGTCCAACGTTTTTTTTGCTTGGAACTTCCATAAATTTTGTTTTCTCATGTGTAAATAAGCAAAAGCCAGCCTTGACTAAGATTTTTTCCTTCCCAGGAAATGTTTAACGATTTGGGTGAACTGTTGTGTACCATCACTGGATTTGACTCTTTTTCATTGCAACCTAATGCTGGTGCTGCTGGAGAGTATGCTGGATTGATGGTTATTCGTGCATATCATATGGTACAGTGATTTCAAGCAATAAAACCAACTTTTTTTTTCCTTGTGGCAATGGAGAAAGCTTATAAGAGTGCATGTTATTGTCTTCTTTAAGGCCCATTTTAGTGTGAACCTCTTGATCGAGTTTCTGAAGCAAGAAATTCTGTGATTGCACCTTTAGAGGTGTTAGAAATCCATGAGGTTGCTTCGTACAATTGCAATTTCTCCTGAACCTGCGTCAGCAATCCACATTAAGGATTTTGAGCAGATATTGAAGGGATTCAGCCAACCATTTTTATATTTTACATCTCTTTCATACAAGTGTTATGTGATTGAATTTCTCAAAGTAAATGTCAAAAAAACTTTCCTTGGTTAGTTATCAAGGATGAGGATTTTGCCTCTCTTATTGAAGCTTATGCTTCACGTCTGGAGGACCTCAGGGATCAACATTTGTCAGTCTCATTTTGAAAAGTTTGCTGTAAACTTACCGAAACATAGGAGTGATTATCAAACTGATTGTGCCAATCTACTTCTTGAATTAAATCCACAGGCAAGAGGAGACCATCACCGCGATGTATGTATCATACCTGTCTCTGCACATGGAACAAATCCTGCAAGTGCTGCTATGTGCGGAATGAAAATTGTTGCTGTTGGCACTGATGCCAAGGGAAATATCAACATTGAAGAGTTAAGGAAGGCTGCTGAAGCAAACAAGGATAAGCTGTCTGCTCTTATGGTATTTATAACTCGCATTGTGGATTGAGATTTTGTTTCTATCACTTTTATCAAGTGGTGATAATTTTGGTTTTAATTTCAGGTTACTTATCCTTCGACTCACGGAGTTTATGAAGAAGGTATTGATGAGATATGTAAGATAATCCATGACAATGGAGGTCAGGTTTACATGGATGGAGCCAACATGAATGCGCAGGTTTCTTATTTATCCTTCTATCTTATATATTTGTCATTATTTTAATATGTTGAATATTGTTTTTTTTTTTTTTTTTTTTTTTTTTGATAAGTAGTTGAATATTGTTATTGAGAGAAATTAATAGATTCTTTATATTTCCATGCTTGTATATGTTTGAGTTGCACATACATGTACTTATCTTTTTTGGTTGCTTTTGGGCGGGTGGGGAGAGGTATAGATAGTTAGGCGAACCTTGCTAGAGAAATTTGTCTTTGTTTCGAAACCGTGTTGTTGGAAAACTTCATCTAGAAAAGGGGGGATCAAATGGAATTAAATTGTGCTCCTGTATACTTGAGCCTGCCTTTATCATCATGATCATCACATTAGCACCTCCACCAATTTACCTAACTGATTTACTTGTCCAAATAGTGAATGTTCAAATTAGAAGGTTGTTTTATGCTTCTTAAATTAACTGTTTTTCCAACAAACTCAGGCCATTCCAAATCATTTTTCATGTGCTTCTAAATGTCATGAAGAACTTTGGAAAAACATTCCAAAAGTTCTATTAAGAGTTTAGGAGAATGGTATTGATTTTGTTGAATATTTTTGGAAGATATAGTTTAGAGAAGTTATCTCTGCCTCTTTAGAAAAAACAAAAATAAAATAAAGAAAACCTATTCTGCAATTTATTTTTTCTGAAGGCTTTTGCCAATAATAGAATAGTGTAATCAGAAGCCCCATTCTGCATTTTATGGTGGTTTAAACTTCAATATGTTGGGCTGTTCTCATAATTGATTAACCTTCTGTGGTCCTAGCTACCGTGATAAAGAGATGGGAGTGTTTGTGTTTGTGTTAATGCTTGTAGCGCTTTGCCTTTTTGAGCATGCAGTTTCCGTTTATTTCCTTTGATTAATCATACTATCCAAGTTTGTGTGCAAATGCAATACACATCTACTTTTCATTCATGCTATCAATGACGTGTATTTTTTATTCTTTCATTTGAGTGACATGCTTAGGTTTTAATTTCCAGGTTTCGAGGAAAAATGCAATTATTAGCTGAGGCAGTTCATCTCTTTCTTCCAATAAATTATTTTTGTTCCTTTTGGTGGTTTATTGATTTGCATTAATTTTGATATTTTTTTTGGGTCCTCACAGGTGGGTCTGACAAGTCCCGGTTGGATTGGGGCTGATGTTTGCCATCTCAATCTCCATAAAACATTCTGCATTCCACATGGCGGAGGAGGTCCTGGAATGGGTCCTATTGGTGTGAAGAAGCACTTGGCACCGTTTTTGCCATCGCATCCTGTGGTATAAACCCTTTCACTGCCAATTGCTTATGCATTAACATGTTAAAATTTCTTTCACCACTCCTAGAGAAGGAGGTCAGTAACTGCAATATCTCTCAACTGTTTTCTTGAAGTTTTCTGGACTCTAAATTGACTTTATTCGTTCTTTAAATTAAGTTTATGAATTGAAATAATCATAAGTTTCCCTTTTTTGTTCTTTTTTTATTTTGCTTTCCTCCTAAAAGGACATACTGTGAAATTCCTCGAGGGAAAATTGTCTTTTCATTTTTCCCTTTTTATCCCAGACTTTGGACTTGGTTTAGTTATTTGAAAATTGTTTCTACATTGTCTGATAGTTTTTCAAAATCCTTTATCTGCTTGGAAAATTTTCCAGTATTTACCTAGCAAAAATAGGAATTAAGAGCTATAGATCATATAAATACCATCATCGATGTAATTTTATTGTTGGTGGGATTACAGATAAGGGAAACACTGTAGAATAAACTAGTATTCAGCGAGGCTTATAGCTATAAGGTTCATTGCATATATTTGAATTGGTTCTGTACATGTAACTTATTAGGGGGGGAAAAAAAGGAATTGGTTGTACAAGCTATAGATTCTGTTGCTCTCAAATATTTTGAAATTTTGATGCTCCTTGATGCAAATGTGTTACTTTCACATGATTATTTTCCACTTTTTAATTTCTTTGTTATTACAAACTGAAGGTACCTACTGGAGGTATACCAGCCCCTGACAAGATGCAGCCACTTGGTACCATTGCTGCTGCACCTTGGGGTTCTGCACTTATTTTGCCAATATCATATACCTACATTGCCATGATGGGATCTAAGGGACTTACAGAGGCATCAAAGATAGCTATCTTGAATGCAAACTACATGGCAAAACGTTTGGAGGTCCCTACTTCTTTACTATCTTTTGCATTTAATTTTTGAAGCACAATTAAAAAAACAGATGGGTGCCGTGCTGTATTCATGCTCTTTTTCCTTTGAATGAAGATGGGAAGCACTCGTTTTTGTAAGGTGACAAAAGTTATATTTGATTTCCCTCTGCAGTCCGATCTGCAACCTGCAATTTGCATGTTGGATCTGCCAATCTTTTGTCAAAATTGAGTTTTTAAGCTATTGCTCCTCCCCTTCAGAGGAATCAGAGCATATCTATATATATACGTATATATGTGTGTTTGTGTATATATATATATATATATATATATTGTCTTAATATCTTTCCACTATTAATGTCGGTTGCTTTTGGATAACAGAGCCACTACCCCATTCTTTTCCGTGGTGTGAATGGAACAGTTGCCCATGAATTCATTGTTGATTTGAGGGGCTTCAAGGTAGTTTATACTGAACATTCATCTTAAATTTGATCCACGTTTTTAGCTTTTATTTCTGTGACTAATTGCGAGCTACTATCATTGTAGAATACTGCTGGGATAGAGCCTGAAGATGTGGCCAAACGTCTTATGGACTATGGATTTCATGGACCAACTATGTCATGGCCAGTTCCAGGCACACTTATGATTGAACCCACTGAAAGTGAAAGCAAGGTTTGTTTCAGAAAGGAGGACTTTCCCCCCTCACCATCTTTTTTCTGTTGTCTGAACTTCAATGATTTTTTATTTCTTTTGCAGGCAGAGTTAGACAGGTTTTGTGATGCTCTTATCTCCATTAGGGAAGAAATTGCACTGATTGAGAAAGGAAAAGCTGATATTAACAACAATGTTCTCAAGGTAAAAGAGCTTTTTGCTTCATCATTGCTGTTGGTTTTCTTTGATATTATGACTTATAGTTGTATATGGTTGCATTCTCTTAATTGTTGTGCTTGAATTCTTTTGGATGCATCTCAATGTTTGTAAATTGCAACCAAATAGTCATGTCAATTTATAGACCGGTATTAACTGAGAAGTATAATTGCAGGGAGCTCCTCATCCACCGTCATTGCTCATGGCAGATGCATGGACAAAACCATACTCTCGCGAATATGCAGCCTTCCCTGCTCCTTGGCTCAGATCCTCCAAATTCTGGCCTACCACAGGTGTGCATCCCTATCAGATCATCCATTTGCTTCCAAAACTATCATATATCCACATGCATCACTTTATTCACTTTTCATTTCTTTTTGCTTTTTTGTACTTGAGTTTCCTGCATTTAGAAGATCGCTTGTGACCTAATTTCAACACATGTATTAGTTAGCAATTACCATGTGTTACTTTTTGTTTGCGGTCGTTAATTTTTGAGATATTGTACCAAATTCTTCATTAATGTTTGTGTCACAATTGGCATCCCAGTTTCCTTCTACATCATTTGTCTTTATTGCTCAGAATCATTTCTCCTGCATTTGCATGTGAATTTTGTGGTGTCCTGTTTATATGAATAACAATGAGATCTGTGGGCTGTCAGGACGCGTCGACAATGTGTATGGGGACCGCAACCTCATCTGCACTCTTCTCCCGGTGTCACAGATGGTTGAAGAAGAAGCTGCAGCTACTGCTTAAGCTTCAGCTGTGTACTGCATTCTGGAAAGTTCAAACGCCGACATGAAGCATTCCTCCTTCCTCCTCTTGTTGTATATAAACTATTATATCATACGCTTCTTTACGGCTTCTTTCGTTCATCTAGAATATTGATAATCAGCTGCTCTAATTACAGTAGTAGCTAATTATTCTCAAACAAAAAAGAAAATAAAAAAAAAAAGGGAAGAAAAAAAGAAAATAAAAGAAAAAATGTAAGTAATTGCAACTCAGATGTTGTAATTGTCGATGTTTTTTTCTTTGATCTCTCTAGGTTCTTAATTGATAGACGATAGTTGGTTGGCATTCATATCCTTTGTCGGATGGAAGAAAAGAAACTTTCATTCTTAGTTCTAATTAAATATTCGATAGTGTTTATTAAGTAAAAAGGGTTTAATGGTGCGTAGGAAACTACTATGGTTTTTTTTTTTTTTTTTCTCTTTCCGATAACCGGGTGTCTGTCTGTCTGGAACAAAATGACGAAAAGTTCTAATTGATTTTTATAACCGACTGATGCGACAATTGTTGAACTAACCATTTTAAATAAGAGAGATTCTACCTTATTAATAATTTTGTTAAAAAAAAGATTATTGAGTATTATTTATTGGAATTGCAAAAAATCAATTCGGACATTGCAGCATTACTCATGCTAAAAATAGCATACTACTGAAAATTGACTGCCCAAAAAGGGCAAAAAGATATATGAGAAAAAAATGAGTAATCATATTTGTTTAGATGCATAATCGACTACCATTAATGTTTTGTATGTCACTTATGAAAATCTGTAAAATCTTTTACGTTTTTTTTTTTTTTTTTTTTAAAAGTTGTTTCTTTTCTGATTGGCTTTATTCGGGATCCATTGTGGCGACATTAAAACCTGTTGAAAGGCCTATGACATGGAGAAATCGAAGGGAACCAAAATGACACTGTTGCTTTATTAATCTACATTTTTTAGAAACTTTATTTATCTACATTTTTAATATATATATAAAGTAGTTGATGTAAATATCTTTGGTTATTTTGCAATCAGCATTTGAGTTATTATGGTTCTGGTTAGTCCTGGAAAAATCCCATCAAGATTCAAGACTAATATCATGAATGGATTATATATAATCTAGAAGTTATTTTTTATTTGATTCATGAGTACAAGTGATGAATGTTCAAACTTTCTAAATTTCCTACATAATCAGAGATAACAGGTGATTATTGTAATCACAGCAGTAAAAAATTCAACATATGTTTGTGTATGACAAGTATGTAAAATATTATTGAGTAATGATCTTTTGTTCATCGGTGAGTAAGAAATTTATTCACCAGATAACCATTACATTATGCATGATGCGGATGAATTTCTTGCTCACCGGTGAACAAGAGATCATTTCTGTAATATTATCATCCTTGTCGTTATCCGGTATTTTTCTTTTCCATTCTTTTCATTATTGGTTCACATATGAAATTCATAAAATCCTTCAAACAATTAACCATCTATCATAATGATGAATGAAGACTAATAACCCTGATTTTAAAACCAATTTTTTTTTTTTTGTGTTGATATTATATGCTATTGATGTTTTTATATCGTCATACGAAGGGGAAAAAAATTATTTGTATTACTATTTATATATTTTGTTAAAATTTAAAAAATGCACCGACCCAATTTTTGAAAATACTCCCTTGCATATATATATATACACTCTTGTCTTCACTGATTTTTTTGGATCCAAAAATACTAAAGTAATCCGCTGAATCTGTCTCTCTCATTGTTTCACTTAATCAATTCTCTCTCGTAATCTTTAAAAAGGTTCATATATATATAACGATATAATTCATCAGAAAGTTATCTGTGCTTATTAAATCATCAGAAGAAACTCTGACGATTAATGTTCAAATTTTCTGAATTTCCTATCTAATAAAAGAGAACAGGTGATTAATTGTTATCACAACAGTCAAAAATTCAATATATATATATATATGACAAGTATGCTTTTAGATCAATCAAATAATGGAATTTCACCACCAAATTCTTGCTCACATGTGAAATCTATAAAATCCTTCAAATAATTAACCATGCATCATGATGATGAAGGAAGAATATTAACAAGAATTTGGAAATAAGACAGCTCCATTTCTTTCTCACCTCACTTCCATGAAAAGAGTGGGAATTCTATTCACATTCTGTGCTCAATAATAACATAACATTTTCCATAAATACAAAATGCTTCCCTCATTAGCCTTATGTAATCTCGAACTCATAAATTGTCCTTTCAGCACAATATATCATCAAGAAAAACTCTTACAAATATCGAACATAAATCTAAACTTTGTAATTAATTTAGTGATATCAATTAACCTAAACCGTACGTAAAGCATTACTGTTGCTTATGAACCATGCTTCGAGGAAGCATCACTTGTAATGATATATCATAGTAACTGAAGATGCAAGAAACTCCTTCTATTCTTTCTCTCTCTAGAATTCTTACACCTCAACCCGAATCAAGATCCCCCTCCTCTTCATTCCAACTCCTATTTATAGATATTTACAAGATATTTACAAGATATTTACTAATTGCTGGACCTGGGCCTATTCCTCAGTAAGCCCTGGTCACTCTTGATGGGCTTACTCCCGCTCGGCCCATATGGCAGTGTCTTTTTATGGGCTGACCCAGCTGTTCGGACTGAAGGTTGTGTTTTGCGAGTCGGACCTGGCCCATGTCATCCAGGGCCTCCTCAACTGCCCCCATAATTGCCCCTTATTTAATAAGGGGTAATTATTGATGGCGTCTCATCATGACGCTGACGGCTCGAGATAACCACGTGGGGGAGCGAACGGTCAGATCCAGAATCAATGTTCCGGGGTTCGAGGGATTTCTTGCCTTCCCGACGCTTCGGCCCTCGGGCCCCCTTGCCTATATAATGCTCTCGAATTCCACTTCACTTCCCTTTACCGTCTCCATCATCAGCCAAATCTCCCTCTTTCTAGAACTGTGCTAAGCCTTTTCCGGTGAAATCCTTCGAGAGTCATTCTCCCAGCGATCTTGCAGTCCTCCGAGGTTAGTTTCATTCTTTTTACTTTCGGCAGGCTTCCATTTTCCCTCTTTTAGATTCTTCTTGCACTTCCACCATGGTTGTAGATCTGGGTGTCCTTCGTATGAGACTTAGGCTTCCTGACAACATCGTAGTTAGGGTTTGCCCCCAAGACGTTAATATTACGACCGGCGCCGGCCTCCTGCCCGGCGAAGTCTTATTCACAAACCTTCAACTGAATGTTGTTAGGTTCCCTCTGCACCCTTTCTTTAGTTACGTCTTCAACAGATTGGGGATATCCCCTCTGCAGGTCAACCCCAACTTCTTTAGGATCATATCTGTTATGCTCTTATTGATGCGTGACAGAAATCTGGACCTTGACCTCATAGACCTCCTTCTGTGCTATAAGGTCAGTAAGATCCGTACTAACGAGCCCTTCTACCACCTCTACCCGTTCGAGAAGATGTCCATATGCACTGACACAATAAAATCTGAAAAGGGTTGGAGGGATAGCATAGTGGGTATTAGTGGGGCTTGGTCTTCGCCGGCTGCAGAGGATTACCCTATCCCGAGCGCCTTTGGTGTCTGCTCTGTCTCCTCCTATAAAAAATTCAAATCCCATAAACACGACTGCCCCTGTGAAACATGCGTTCCTCGTTTTTGCACTTACTTATGCCGCTCCTTGGGAATACCTTGTGATGACTTGAGCTACAGTGTTTGCAGGGATAGGATTAACTACTTGAAGAGATACGTTCTGAACGATATTCCTTCCTGCTCAGATCTCCTCACTTCAGACAACCTCTTTGCGCTCTCATCACTCGGCTACAATATGAGCAGACTGCAGATTCCCTCTTTTGGCAGGAGGAAAAATACTCCCCCAGTCATTCCTGCTGCCGGGGCGACCTCCTCTCCAGCGTCGGCTTCTTCTTCAGCCACCATATCTGACACTGTCCCGAGCGCAGTGGCTACTAACCCTGCTGCCAGCGCCCCTGCGGCCAACCAGAACGCGCCCTCCCCAGCTACCATAGCTCCTGCTGCTGCGGGGGGCGGTCGGGACAAAGAGCGAGGCAAAAGGCCTCATCCTGACAGTGAAATCGACCCTGAGGAGGAGCCTCTTATTAGAAGGACCCGAGTCTCTGGGCCGGGTACTCTCTTGCACCGAGCGATCAGAGCTCCTTCTCACTCTGGGCCTCCTGCAGCTGGTGGCTCTGCTTCTGCTTCAGGCCCCCCTTCTATCCCCAGCTTGCCGCCATGGGCCCCTCGGTACACTCGAACGGATGGGACGTTCGTGAAACCGAACGAGACCATGCTGAAGGATGGCCAGACCGCTATGGCCTACTACAGGAGCATGTGGACTCCGAAGGACATTGAGGCGGCAAAGGGCCTTTCCCAGAAGGACGTGTTCAGTCGCTTTCCCCAATCTGCTATGGAGGTGACTTTTATTTTCTAACTCATGAATTCTCTTATATTACTTGGTCTTGCCTTCTCCCGTTCTGACTATTGGTTTAACCGTTCTTATTGTGCACCTATGCAGACATTGTTTGGGATGATGGCCATGCAGAAGCAGGTGGAAATGGGGAACGCCAGGGCCCGAAAGTATTCTGACAGCCTGGAGGTGGCTAATAAAGAGAACGACCTCCTTGCCATGAAGAATACCGAGGTGCTGGTTCGGCTTGACAAAGCCGAGCAAGAGAGAGATGTCCTGAAAAAGGAGAATGATTCCCTTCAGGATGAGAAGGACGCCCTCCAGCTCGAGAAGAGCGTCTGGCAGACTGAGCAGGAATCACTCAGAGAAGAGAAGGCAGAACTCCAACGTCTTCTAGCTGATGAACAGTCTGCTCGGATGGCTTTTGAAAAAAGAGCTCTGGACGAGCGTACCGCTCTGATCGACGTTATCAGCAGAGTGGGTGGTGGGATGCTGGCCCTTCATGCTCGGTTCTCCAGGGTCGGTGCTCTTCGGTATGCTCAAGGATTCCGGGAAGGCTTCGCCGACCGGGTTCCGGATGAGGGACAGACCAGCTCCACTCCGGATGAGGTAGACAAGGATCTGGGGATCGAGCCTCTGGGGGTCTATGTCGACCCAGAACCCACCGAAGCGGAGCGTATATTTGATGAGTGCCAGGACATCGCATCCTCAAGGATCATCACAGCTCCTCCTACCGCTCTGCCACTGACCGCTCCCCAATCGTCAACCGTGGCTCCCTCTGTAGCCACTGCTGACGCTGAACCCCAGCCGAACGACTCAGTTATTCACCTGGATTCCCCACCTCATGAAGGTGAGGCGGCTGATGGGGCCGAGGGGGCGAGTCGGCAGGACCAGGATGCTGTTGGTACTGAGGCGTCTAGCTAGGGCTCCTTCGAATTCTTCCAGTTCATATCTTCTTGTAATGATGGACACCTCTCTTTTGTAAACTAAATGTTCAATATTAATGAAATGGCCGAACTCTTTTTCTCTATGTGTTGTGCTCTGTTCAACTTATCTTCAGTACATATATATCTTTTCTCTCTTTTTCTTTTTATATTAGTTTTGCTGTGTGTTTGTACGGCAAGTGCCTGGCGCTCGGCTAGAATGCCACTTGCCACTTGGCTTTAAATTTTTAGCAAGTGTCTGGCGTTCGGCTTATAGTGCCAGCTGCCACTTATCTTGCTTAAGTGCCTGGCGCTCGGCTAGAATGCCACTTGCCACTTGGCTTTCAATTTTTAGCAAGTGTCTGGCGTTCGGCTTATAGTGCCAGCTGCCACTTATCTTGCTTAAGTGCCTGGCGCTCGGCTAGAATGCCACTTGCCACTTGGCTTTAAATTTTTAGCAAGTGTCTAGCGTTCGGCTTATAGTGCCAGCTGCCACTTATCTTGCTTAAGTGCCTGGCGCTCGGCTAGAATGCCACTTGCCACTTGGCTTTCAATTTTTAGCAAGTGTCTGGCGTTCGGCTTATAGTGCCAGCTGCCACTTATCTTGCTTAAGTGCCTGGCGCTCGGCTAGAATGCCACTTGCCACTTGGCTTTCAATTTTTAGCAAGTGTCTGGCGTTCGGCTTATAGTGCCAGCTGCCACTTATCTTGCTTAAGTGCCTGGCGCTCGGCTAGAATGCCACTTGCCACTTGGCTTTCAATTTTTAGCAAGTGTCTGGCGTTCGGCTTATAGTGCCAGCTGCCACTTATCTTGCTTAAGTGCCTGGCGCTCGGCTAGAATGCCACTTGCCACTTGGCTTTCAATTTTTATAGTAGACCATTGGAAAAGAAAATTCTTCTCTTTTTTTTTTTGTAAATTCCGGTAACTTGCTCATTCATATGTATTTGATTAACAACAAATAACATCCAATTAAAACCAGAACTTAGCTTCTATTGATAGTACCTCTTCAGAGACGTGGCGTTCCAGGGCTTGTTGACCAACTTTCCCGCCATGGTTTCCAACGTATATGCCCCTTTGCCAATGACTTCTGCAATTCTGTATGGGCCTTCCCAGGGTGGCATCATTTTTTTGACCATCCCCACCTTTCTTTTCAGAACCAGATCGCCCGGGGCAAAATCCCTGTGTTTTACTCTCTTATTGTGACTATTCGCCAGCACTTGCTGATACGATGCTAGCCTTATAGCCGCTGCGTCCCTCCTTTCGTCTATCATGTCGAGGTTCAATCTTAACATCTTGTCGTTCTGATCTCGACTCCATGCTAAGCTTCTGATAGTGGGGACTAAATGCTCAACCGGTATAACTGCTTCGGTACCATACGCCATCGCGAACGGGCTCTCCCCAGTCGGCCGCCTTGGGGTGGTTCTGTAAGCCCATAGAACGTTCGGGAGTTCATCCAACCACTTCCCCTTATGATCTTCCAGCTTCTTCTTAATGCAGGCGAAAATGGTTCTGTTTGTGATTTCTGCTTGTCCGTTAGCCTGAGGATGACTTACTGCAGCCAACTTCTGGTTGATTCCATACTCCTCCAGCAGCTTTCTTACTTGCCTGCTGTCGAGGTTTGTGCCATTGTCCATGACTATTGTTCTGGGAACACCGAAGCGGCAGATAATGTTGTTCCAGATAAATCGTCTCACCTGAGTCTGAGTCACGCTAGGATACGGTTCTGCCTCCACCCATTTAGTGAAATAATCCGTGGCCAGTAACACATACTTGCTCTGAGCTCTTGCAGTTGGCAGAGGACCGACCACATCCATCCCCCATTGCGCGAAAGGCCACGGCGAGGCCATTACGTGCAATTCTTCAGGTGGTTGGTGGATCATTGGTCCATATCGTTGGCACTTATCGCACCTTCGAGAGAACTCCTCCGCATCTCTTGACATGTTTGGCCAAAAATACCCTTGTGTCATTGCTTTATGCGCTAACGATCTTCCCCCAGAATGATTGCCACACACACCCTCATGAATAGCTCGCAATACCTGCTGCGATTCCGCGGGGGTGACACATTTCAAGTACGGGCCAGAATAGGACCTTCTGTACAGCTGGTTCCGCACGATGGCGTACTTGGCAGCATTCTTTTTGAGTTTCCTAGCTTCATCCCTTTGCATAGGCAAAACGCCATCTCGAATATAGGTAATGATTGGGTCAATCCAACTCGGTTCATACGGTATGACGTTGACTTGCCAAGGGTCCGAGACCATCGGTTCTTCGAAAATGGACGGCTGGGTCACTATTCCCACTGGAATCACCCTCGCCAATGTTTCACCACAACTTGAAGCACTGCATGCTAAACGGTCTGCATCTGCATTCTGTTCCCTCGGCAACTGTATGAATTCAATCTTTGCAAAGTCCTTGGCTCTACGCAGAACGGCAGAACGGTATGCCCCCATCATGTCATCCTTGGTTGCGTACTCACCATTTACCTGCCGAACAATCAGCTGCGAGTCACTATACACTGTCAAACTTTTGATCTGTAGCTCTTTGGCCAACTTTAATCCATTTAGCAACGCCTCGTATTCCGCTTCATTATTGGTGGCTCGGAACTCAAGTCTGAGTGCTTGGCTCAAGGAAGTACCTTCTGGGGTTTGCAGTTTGATCCCAATCCCAGCCCCCGTCGGGTTAGAGGAGCCATCCACAAAAAGTTTCCAAGAGCCGCTTCTAAGGTCCTCTTCCGTATCTTCGGCATCACATTCTAGTAGGAAATCGGCCACCGCTTGCCCTTTAATAGCTGTTCTCGGCTCGTACGTTATGTCAAATGAACTCAACTCTATGGCCCACTTTGTCATTCTGCCCGAGAGCTCTGGCTTGTGCATGAGCGTTCTGATTGGGAAAGTTGTTAGAACAGCTATGGGGTGGGATTCAAAATAATGCCTTAACTTTCTTTTTGCATTTACAAGTGCAAGTACCACCCGTTCGGCCTTTGAGTATCTTTTTTCTGCCTCCATCAGTGTCTTGCTTACATAAAATACTGGGTATTGCACCCCTTCCTTGCAACGAATCAGAACGGCACTCGTCGCGACACCAGATACTCCAAGATATAGAAATAACTTTTCTTCCGGTTCTGGGGCTGACAGGACTGGCGGATTCTGCATATATTGCTTCAAATGAGTCAATGCCTGTCGTTGCTCATCCCCCCAGACCTGCCTTCCATGGCTCCGAATCGTGTCAAAGAATGGTTTGCAGTGGTCTGACAACTTTGAAATAAATCGACTTAATGCAGCTATTCGTCCTGTTAGGGCTTGCACCTCTCTGATCGTCTTTGGCTCGGCATTCTTAATCAAAGCCTCTGCTTGAGCGGGGCTAACTTCGATGCCCCTGCGGTTGACCACGTGTCCCAGAAACTGCCCGGAACTCACACCGAACGAGCACTTGGTCGGATTGAGCCTCATCCCATATCGCTTTAGTACATCAAATACCTCTTGCAGATGCTTCAGATGATCATCCTTTTTCCTACTTTTCACCACCATGTCATCAATATAGGCTTCGACAATCTTACCCATTTGATTCTTAAAAACTTTGCTGACAAGTCGTTGATAAGTTGCTCCCGCATTCTTTAATCCAAAAGGCATAACCTTGTAGCAGTACGTTCCTCGCTCGGTGACAAAAGAAGTTTTTTCTTCATCTGCGGGGTCCATAGGAATCTGATTATAACCTGAATATGCGTCCAGAAAGGTTAAACGCTCATACCCCGTGGTGGCATCCACCATTTGATCAATCTTAGGCAACGGGAAACTGTCCTTCGGGCAGGCTTTGTTTAAATTGGTGAAATCAATGCATACGCGCCATTTCCCATTTTTCTTCTGCACCACAACGACGTTGGACAACCACTCAGGGTAGTGCACCTCTCTGATAAATCCCGCATCAAGCAGCCTATCAACTTCTTCCGTTATGATCTGATTACGTTCTGGAGCAAATCTTCGCTGCTTCTGTTTCACTGGTTTGAAATTAGGATTGACATTCAGGGAATGACAGGAGACGGAAGGACTAATTCCAGGCATGTCGAGATGACTCCATGCAAATACGTCGACATTGTGGGATAAGAAATCCACTAGCTCTTGCTGCTCTTCTCTGGTCAGTCTTATACCCACTCTGGTAGTTCGTTCTGGCCTGGACTGATCGATCTGCACATCCAGAAGGGGCTCCTCGGTCAAGTCGGCTGACTCCTCCACCCTATTCTGCTCGAGTGGAGGTTCCTGTAATTGCTATCTGGGGCTTGTCGACCGGACGGGCGCCTTTCCCTTCCCTGCATGCTTTAGTGTGACGGAATAACACTCTTTGGCTGCGACCTGATCCCCCCGAATGTCTATCACTTTATCTCCATCGGGCCCGAGGCACCTCATGACCTGATGCAGAGTTGAGGGTACACCTCGGACTCTGTGAATCCATCCTCTTCCCATCAGGAGATTATACGAGGGGTGAATTTCCACAACCACAAAAGTTTCCATAAGAGCTCGCTCTGCAGCTTGAACTTCTACTTCCACCATCCCGACGGGTTCCACCCTCTTCCCATCGAACCCTAATAAGGGATTTCCGGTGGGCTTGAGCCTCTCTGGTTTAATGTCGAGCCTGTCAAATGTGTCCCTTGGCATAACATTCGCACTGCTCCCAGGATCGATCAGAACTCTGCGCACCAAGCACTCTGCCACTGTCAAACTGACTACCAACGGGTCGTCATGAGGCAGTTGGACACGCTGCAGGTCTGTCCAGTCGAACTTTATCTGCATTGACGGGCTCTGTTGGTGTAGAGTGGTCACATTGCCGACCCTTTTCTTCATCTGTGCCTGCCGCAGGCGCACCCGTAGCAGCTCATCTGGCTCTTCACTAGGCTCGGGTCGACCATGGATAGCATTGATTATACGAACTGGTTGCGAATTGTGGGAGCTTTGTTTATGACTCCTTTTTATTTGTTCCACTGGTCGATTCTGCTCCATCGCCGAGCCTTGAACATAACTCGCAAACTCCCCTCTAGCTATCAACATCTCCACTTGCCTCCTCAGGTTCCTGCATTCGTTAGTCTGATGTCCGAAATCAGAATGAAAAGCACAATGTTTAGTTTGATCCCTCTGTTCGAGGGGTTGTCTAATTGGCAGTGGTGGATGAAACTTGTCCTTGTTCTCCTGATATAACCTCGCCAGAGTGACCTTCAGCGGAGTAATCAACTCTTCCTCCCTGGACCTTTTTTCGGCCTTCCAAGTGGTCTGACGTTGCGGCTGAGCCTGCTTCTGCCTGATCTTTGCCTTGGACTTTTCCTCGGTCGACACAAGCGACGTTGTCCGAGCATTAGCTGCCTCCTCTTCTTCGAGGCGCACAAAGCCATCGGCTCTCTCATTGAGTTCGTCCATGGTAGCTGGCGTATTCACTACCAGACTGGTGTGAAACGGAGTTCCGCGTGTCATGGCTAACTTGAAGGCTTGAACTGCCGTAGTAGGATGGCATTCGATTACCATACTCTTAGTGAGATTAAACCTGGTAAGAAAGGCCTGGAGCCGTTCATCCTTGTGTTGCCGCATCGTGAACAGGCTCGAGATGTCCTTCGGCGGGCGTTTGTTCCCATAGTACTGGCTTATGAACCGATCGCACAGGTCCCTGAAACTGCCAATGGAGCTCCTAGGCAAGTTTTTGAACCAGCTGAGCGCCGGTCCGGCCAAACTTGTAGGGAAGCATTTGCACATTAAAGAGTCGTTTTCCGTGTTCAGGGCCATTTTCAACTGGATATGATACACATGATCGATCGGATCGGTTGTTCCGTCAAACAGAATAAAGACTGGCATAGCAAACTTCCTTGGATGCGGCGCATTCAAGATCTCGTCGGTGAATGGTGAATCCACCGTCCGAGCTGCGGATCGGAGAGCTTCATTCTCTCTCTGGAGTCCGGCGGTAGCTCTGTGAGTTACGGTTCTGCCCTCCGAACCGTGATGAGTGACAGTAACCATGGAGGGCCGGTAAGACGGATCGAACGACCGTTCCTCTATGAACTCTCTCTGCCAAGGCGACGCTACTCGACGGCGATCTACCTCCATCACTTCCTCTCGGTCAAACCTTTCCCGCTGCGGATCAACGTGAGTCGAGCCTTCGTGATCTTCAACTCGACGAACATTTGGCGGCGAATTGTCCATCATCCTTTCATCACGGTGGTGAGCTGACTGATTGTTCTCGTTCTGATCGCCTTGATGCGCGATACTAGATGGAACACCTCCTTCTCCGACCGGAAGCGGATGCGAGACTGCGGGTATTTGCCGATGCTGCAATCCAGCTTTCAATTCTGCATTTTCTTTTCTGAGAGCTTCAATCAAATTCATCAACTCTTCAAGCTTTGTTTGCTGGACAGCCTCCATCGGATTGGAGCTTTCACCTATCATTATTCCCGAACGGAGTAAAGGCATTAATCTCAAGCTCGCGAGTAGATCTAAGCTTCGTGAGTAGGAATTTTTAGATCTGGCTTCTAATTCTCCGAATTATGCTCACTGTTTACAAGATCTGAATTGCCTGGACTCTAAATCCGTCAGATCCTGTCACAATCGAGCAACTCGCGGTTGCGTAGATCTGAAGTCACTCCTGCCAAAGCTTCAAGAATCGTAATTCCTCCAGAGTAGGTCACAATCGCTCAGATCTGGATTCAAATCCGCAAGATCGAGTCTCGATCAACCGAATTGGTTTGAATCCCTTCGATCCTCCTCATTGATCAACCAAACTTTTATGCGTTTCCCACAGACGGCGCCAATTGAAGATGCAAGAAACTCCTTCTATTCTTTCTCTCTCTAGAATTCTTACACCTCAACCCGAATCAAGATCCCCCTCCTCTTCATTCCAACTCCTATTTATAGATATTTACAAGATATTTACAAGATATTTACTAATTGCTGGACCTGGGCCTATTCCTCAGTAAGCCCTGGTCACTCTTGATGGGCTTACTCCCGCTCGGCCCATATGGCAGTGTCTTTTTATGGGCTGACCCAGCTGTTCGGACTGAAGGTTGTGTTTTGCGAGTCGGACCTGGCCCATGTCATCCAGGGCCTCCTCAGTAACCAACAGAAAATGTCCTCCTTAATTTCTTCCATGTCTTCATCGATATCTTTCATGTTTTAATGCAAAATTGATTGATGAGGAAACGGAATGGACAATCCCGGCAAGTAAATTAAAAAAACACTCAAATTAGGCTTGCCTTTTGATATTCTGCAATGAACAGCGACCTTCTAAAACCCTAGATACAAAAATTATCAAAGTATGAAATAACCACATGACACAAAACCACCCATCATCTAGCTAAATGAAAGATTTGGAAGATAGAATAAAATGAAGATGTTACACTAGACTTCTCATGCCCTAAAATGGCTTTACTCTTTGAGTTTATATGGCCCTTGAGAGATATGGGTGCAATAATAGCCCATAAATATCCAATATTGCAAAATATATTCACTAAGATGGTTTTTTTTTTTTTTTTTTTTTTTTTTTTTCATAGCTAGCGTCATCAATATTATTAAAATTTTACCAGCTTTACACATTTTCTATTCCTAGCAAACTTAAAGCTACAATCAATATTTATTTTGAGTAATGTTATTAATATGAGTTATGGGTTCTTTTTATTTAACCAATGAATGAAAAGACGTGATAAATTATTCATTTGACCTTCTTTAACTGATATAATAACAAAAAGATATTCATACCGACATAATAACAACAACGGTAGCGAAATATATATTATTTTGAGTGGATTTTCAAATTCTTATACTATAATAATGTGTAGGAAAGTGACTATTATTGCACATTAAAAGATATGCAAGTATAAAGTCAGTGTTCTTGCAGATCAAAAGATATCTTGTATAATGTTATTTTAAGATCTCTTTCATCCCAACTTGGTTTCGATGACATTTGTTGCGCGAACTTTCCTAGACATTTCCTGTTCATGGTAGAATTTCAAAGATGGGACAATTATGGAGTGGTACTTGGAACCCAATGTGAATAAAAAATTATTAAAAAAATTATGGTTGTATTTCAAAGTAAAACAACGTAGTTTAATGGTACCAAGTTTTTAAATGGATAAAAGTGAATATGTAAGCGCTGTGTAATATTATTTTTTGTCTATTAGGTAAAAAATGAAAATTACTAGACTACGATTAGTATTATTTTCATCAACGCATGCACTAGATACAAATTTATATAGAGAGAATCTGATAAATTTAGACAATTTAGAATCTTTGTGATAAAGTTATGTATAACTGTAAAAAAAATGAAATTTCACACGTTATACGTTATTTTCAACGCATTATATTCAGATTTTAATACATTATATCTATATTTCAACCATGCATGTGAAATGGATGTAATGCTTTGAAATCTCTTTTTTTAATAATATTATTTTTAATTTCACCGTGTGTTTTTCAACGCTTTTGTCCTATGCTTTGAAATATAAAATAAATGTGATAAAATAAGATGTGTGTTGAATTTTTTTTTTTTTTTTTTACATCAGAGAATCTAGCCTCTCGGATGGAATGTACCGTTTTTGATCGAATGAAAATGAAAAGAAAAAATTCTATCACTCCACATGAACTCGGTGGAAATCACAAGATGATCCTGCCTTCACAAGTGTACAAAGGATAAAATCCAATTAATGAATAAAAAAATAAAAAATGAAAAGGGGAAAAGGTGATAATTATTTGTTCCTCCTAATTGTGGTCAGAAAGATAAAACAAATTGGAACATGTAAATTGCTGTAAATGGCATGCAATTTTAGAGCTGCATAAATTGGAAACATGTTGTCATTTTTATTTGTTCCCGTGTAGGACCCACCACGGAAAGTAAAATTAGGGAATAGGTTCATGCACCTACTCATCTTCCTCTTTCTTGTGTTCAAAGGACCAAAACAATAAATCAATTTTTTTAAAGAAAAAAAAAGAAAAAAAAATTCATAAATATGTATAGTCTGAAGAAATCAATGCATTTGCTATTTGGGTTCTCTCATTTCCATCTTCTTCTTCTTCTTCTTCTTATTCTTCTTCTTCATCACCTAGTGTACGACCACAATACTTTCTCACGATCTTCGTCAATCTGCTTCGCCTCCATCTTCATTGACTCATACAGGTCCGTATCACCCTTTTTTAGTTCCCATCTTGTTGTCTCTTTGATGTTGATAGCAAAAGCCTTCACATTTTTGCTACTTTGGATTCTGGTTTTTGTGTTTGATATATTATGACGAGAGTAAAATCGTCAAAAATGCAATTCTGGGTCTGTATGGTTGCCGAGAAATACGGTGGAAAGTAAAAGAAAATCAATTTTGAAGTCTTTCTTTTTACTGTGGTTTTGGGTGTTTGTACAAGTCCAAACCTACAGATGGGAGTTTATATTTTCTTTATTCTCACTCTTTCCTTCATGTTCTCAGAAGCCAAGCATTTGGTGTATGATCATTTTACTTGGAAACTCTTCTGAATCTATAAGGTCATCAATTGTGATATATACTATATAATAGAAAGTTCTTATTGGTAAATGGCTGTTAGAACTTTTGATTACTTGTGCGAATTAGACTTTGATTGTGTGTTTTTATCAGTATATTGATTATATAGGGAGTTCTTATGTGTAAATGGTTGTTAGAACTTCTGATTATTTGTGTGAATTAGCTTTTGATTGTGTGTTTTTATTAGTATATAGATTATAATGATTTGTTCAATTAGTTTAAAGTAGTGGCCAATGCTCAAGGCTTTTAGATTAACTAGGTTTGCATTTATGTTGCGTTGAAATGCATCGTGATTTTGATATAACCATGTCATGCTGGGGCAGATGATTAGTGATGTGATTTATTCAGTCATGTCTCAATGACGAGACCCTTTTGGGGGGTTTTGGCAAAAGAAGAGAAAAGAAAGTGCATAAAGTTGAGTTATATCTTAAACATTCTCACCCATTTCCTTCCTCCCACCACATCTCCTTTATCTCAAGTGCATTCGGAAGTTAAAAGGAAAGGGAAGGAAAAGGAGAGCATGCTACGGCTTAAAAATGAGAGGGGAAAGGAAAGGAAAGGAAAGGAAAAAGAGGAAGGGATTTGTAAACCTCTGTTCAGAGTGCTTTCACTATCCTTTTATTATACCTTTTATTGGAGTGTAGAAGACTTTTACTTTCACTCCCAGGTGTAGACTAGTGTTACCCATCCCCACCCCCAACTTCGAATCCCATAGGGGTGGTGGTTTGATTCCAAAAATGATTTGGACCAGACTTCTGGTTTGATTCGATTCTAGGGTTAACAATTCAGTGGCAATTAGGGATGGTAATTTGTCTCGCGGGGACGAGTACCCACCCCACCCCATTTATAGTGATTTTGGGGGACCGTTTAGCTTATTTGGGCGGGGATGATTTTTATTAATGAAAATCCGCGTTGATTCGGAACGGGGATGAGGAGAGGTCACCTCACCCCGCCCCGTTCAGATAGGTAAATTACTAAATTACCCTTATTTTATTAGTATATATAGTTAGTTCTAAAAACCTTAACTCACATTCACTTATTTTCTCAACCGTTCTAGTGATCGGCACAGCCCTACAAACTAAGAACGCTTATACCCTTGAATTTTATGTTAAATTATTGATTGCCCATTTTTTATGATTTTTTTCAATAGTTATATAATTGTATTTAAGGAAAAAAATTAAAAAGTGAAAAGAAACTCTGGAGCTAAACGGGGTGGGGTGGGTGCTCGCGGGGGTAAAAAAGTTAAACGGGGCGGGGATGTGAGGAAAGGTCCCCTGTTTAGGCAGTTTTGGGCGGGGATGGAGCGGGAGTTTCTAAACGGTTGTGGGGGCGGGGGAGGGTACACCCGCCCAAAACCGTCCCGTTGTCATCCCTAGTGGCAATTCTAAAAGGTAGTAGAACCAGGGATCTAAATTTTGAACCAACCCAAACTTAACTGTGGTGTTTGTGTACTTGAATTGATTTGGTTGACAATTCTAGTTACCGGTGGATTACACACGCCAAATGAACGCGCACACGTATATATTTCATCATCGTCACATCTTTGTCTTTATCCTATATGAAAGGGGTAGGCCACATGAATCTCCTTTTATCATTCTCCTATTTTACACACGTCTCCTCTTATATTTAATTTTTTTAAAATCATTTTTAGATACTTCATTTCATGTAGGTTTTGGTCAGCCTCTTTATCACTTATCTTTTATGCAAACAACTACTTATGTATGCTTCGTTGTTTCATATTTGTAAGTATTGTTTTAGATTGAGTTAGGTATATATTAGATGTATTTTAGGGATAATTAGTTTCCAATTAACATGTTAACCATGGGTTGAGTAAGGTCTGATATTGGGCTAGGCCTAGTTACTATTGACCTGTGTTTTTTGGTAAGCTCAATCCACGAAACTGAATCGATTCAAATTGTCCATTGCATGGTAGAATCCGACCAATTATGTCTACACAAAGGCTTAGTGGACTTGATAAATATGTTATGCTTTTTGGAAATTTTCAATAGGTAGTGGCATAGTTCATCATGCTTTGATTAATCTTCAATAATCATGCGCACATGAGAGTATATTTTGGAGCTCAAGTGTTGGAGTGCAACGGATGTATGTCATGCACACTTCACTCATCGAGAAGGAATCATTTATTGAGAAGTGATCACATTATTCAGTCATCATGGATTAGGAAACTCCATGGTTTGATAATTGAATGTGCAATAGATGCTAATATTTAATAATTTTAATTTTAATCTAGTTGGTCTTTTGCGTGAGAGATGGCCTTAAGAAGAAATGTGTTTCTTGCAGATACACTGTACCATTGGCATTTTAGCTACGCTATGTTGGAGAGTGTTATTTGACATGAAACTGTTCGGTACGACAATATTATACAAAGCCAAATGTTGCCAGGAAGACTTTCTATGATGGAATTAAAACAAGCTCATGATGTTGAAGATACGAGTTCTGCACCAAGAATTCAGCATGATCCTTGGCCACTTAATGAGATTGATCCCAAGAAATCCAAGTTCCCTTGTTGTTTGGTGTGGACTCCTCTCCCAGTGGTCTCGTGGTTGGCGCCTTTCATTGGACATGTTGGCATATGCAAGGAGGACGGAGCTGTTCTAGATTTTTCTGGATCCAATTTTGTGAATATCGATGATTTTGCATTTGCTCCTGTAGCCAAATACATTCAACTTGATAGAGAGCAGGTACACTTCCACAATCGTTTTTAAATTCATCTTCGTTTGTGTTATTTTGTGTTCTCTCTCTTATATGCCCTGATGCTCACACAGTTGAAATGATCCACTAATATTTGAAATGTGACATGTTTAACCAGTGTTGCTTTCCTCCAAACCTAGCTGGGCACGCATGCAAGATTCGGTACAGGCATGCAGAGTATGGGACGGCAATCACTTGGGACGATGCTCTCCTGTCAAGTATGCGCCTCTATGACCACAAATCCTACAACCTCTTCACCTGCAATTGCCACTCATTCGCCGCTAATTGTCTGAACCGACTCTGTTATGGTGGATCGATGGGTTGGAACATGATAAATGTGGCTGCTCTTGTGCTGTTCAAGGGACGGTGGGTTGATAGCTTGTCAATCTTAAGATCATTTATGCCTTTTATGGTGATGCTTTGCCTGGGTATTTTCGTGGTTGGTTGGGCATTCTTGATTGGGCTGCTATCCATCTTTCTACTCCTCGTCGGCTGGTTTTTGTTCGGTACTTATTGTGTCAAAAATCTGTTAGAATGCTAGATCCTTGTGCCAATAATGCACAAGATTTAAATTATGTCAAAAGATGGCTCTAACAAACCTATATTAAGAGTAATGGATTATACTTTTTGGAAAAGGAAATTGGAATTTATTATTGAATTTATTCGAAGTAAGGGATGAACATGTGATTTCTCTTTTGCTATTTGATGATGCAAGAAAATGGTAACACGGACTGAACTCGTCGTAGATAGTTTCTTTTTTTTTTTTTTTTTGGAAGAGAACTAAGACCTGTATAAGAATCTCCTACACTTGATCCATATATTCCTAACTTTTGATTTTTGAATTGCTCAAATTCGGAGTTACTGTGATTTTTTAAATGCTAAACAAGGGTTGAAACAAAACAAAACAAATGTCACTGCAACAATCTCAATCAGGTCGGTGTGTGTGCGTGCGCTACTGAATATATGCAGCCTTGAAATAATGGGAGTGTGCTTTGAAGTTATTTTTTGCCTGTTAGATAAGAGAAACATGCCACAATTTTGAAAAGGATTCTGAAGCTCCATTAAAGAGAGCATTTCTTTTGTTGAAGTACAGTCGTACAGACGACGAACTCAATATGAAAAGAATCAGTTAATAATAATATGAAGATCTGGGAAAACCCCGTGCAAGAGTCCCACCTTCTGTTGCAAGGTCTGGGGAGGGATAGATGTTCGTGTTGTTTTCTTGTTTCGTTCATGTGACCTCCAGGTCACTGTAATAACAACGTCACTGTAAAATAGGCCTACACAACTGCTTGCATTGCAACTCCTCTATTGATAATATCATTTCCTAAAAGAGAGCCTAGAAGCAGGTCTATTTCTCAGGAGTCATTTGGATCTTGAAAATCAATGCCATTAAGCAGTTGGGTACTAGCACTCTCCATAGAAACAAGAAGGACCCAAGTGGAGCAACAATTAAGAAACAAGGAAACCAAAATTGATCAACTTTCATTTAAAAAATAAGTAAATAACTAGAACACAGGAAAACAAAATATAATTATTACACGACAAGATGGAAATAGGAGTAATACAAAATCCGAAAGAAAGCCAACATTAACTAATTCCCTTCAGTATTTGAAACAGGTTAGTTAAGTGCAAATGCCGTGATCAAGAACACGAGCATTCTCGTTATAACAAATGCTATAAGAAGACAAACATCAAGAAAAAGATTGCAAAACAGTGTGTTTGAGTATCAGGGTGGCTCCATTATTACTGCTTGTATCTTCGGTTCATTAAATAAAGCGAGAGTAATGTGTTTCATTTGATGCAACAGAGCTTTTGACTAAATTCACCTCATGCTCCATACTTGGGGGCCTTCCAAAGCTTAAATGCAACTTCATGCAGGAACCTGTCCGCGGGTATTGTGAGGTTTCCACCGTGCTTCATGAAGAAGAACGATACTTTAATAATATGATGTTTGAAACAAGTGTACAATTACTACAAATAAGTACACAACTATACATGTATACATCAGGTAAAAAACATGAAAACTTTAGGACTTATTTGCGGTCACTTTGAATACTATTTTATGTCAAAAACTGAAAAACGAGAACATGGGAAGAATTTCTGTGAAGAGTCTTTTTTCTTATAACTGCTTCAGGAAAAAAATAGAAAACAAAGAAAAGAAAACAAAAACAATTTTGTTTTCATTTTCAAGAACTCAGGTCCCTTAAAAACAGAAAACAACTAAAGAAGCTGAAGCTGCAGCTTCTTCAAAATTTTAATTGTTTTCTTTTTTATTTTTGGAAGTGATAACTGAAAATAAATACAAATTTTAGAAGTAATACTAAACAGGACCTTAGAATCCTGCATATGATTTTCTATCAGCATAAATGGTTTCATATGGAAAGTTGCACTGAACTCTAAGAAATGAAAACTGTCAACTGCACCTAAATAAGCCTGAGACAATTTATCAACAGGGCAATACCATAACATATCAAATGCTATTACACTTCCAAGCATACAGCAATATGATACAGAAAATGTATTTGATTGAAAGCTCTTCAAATTTATAAAGAGCAATCTAAATGTGCATTAGAATACAGTATAATGTAAAATAATATGATATGATATAAATTATAACATATCATCTTTGTTTTTTGCTTTGTTTCTTTATTTATTATTATTATTATTGGTTCTACATTTTGGGCACACAAGCATTTTGAAGATTTCACAGACATGCTAGTTTTCGAAGTGACAAAATTAATCGGAATTCAACATTCTCCTGCAAAAATAGACTCATGAAGCCATATGAAAAACAAAATCAATACAGAACCTGTAGGAATTATCACGTTTACATGCAAATAGAAGTTTATCAATTATGCTCAGATTTGCTGCAGCCAAATTGTATCAAACTTCTAATCACATTTAGGAAAAAGTACAAAATGACCAAGGAAACTTCTAGAAATTCCTAATTTCTAGATTTCTGCATGCACATATTAAGCAAAACATATCTGATGCAAATGAAATACTAATTTCCTTATCACTTCAAGCATGCTGTGATTAGATGCAATGATAATGAGGCTGCAGATGGATAATACCAGTATTTGATTTACAATTTCAGTCCGTTAAATTTCTCCACCAGATCAAAAGCACATGTAAGAGAGCAAGAGCTTTGTAGTGATATAGCATTTATGTGCAAATAAACTTTTTAAAGTATTAGTCCTCACAGTAGTTCAGGTATTGTTAAAAGCAATAAAATAGTAAAAAGAACAAACTAGTAAAAGTATGGAAACATGAGTTAGAACAACCTTCAAAGTTCAAAAAATTAAGAGTTTTCTGACATTATATTTGTCAATAATACCTCTTTAAAATCTTTAAAACAAAAAGTCTCCGCCATATCCGTACGGGTAACAGAACTCTGCCACTGAGCAATCAACATTGGGCAATGGTTCCTGTTAAAGAATAAATTAGCTGGAGCCAATCAGCCAAAATGCATGTCAAAGCACTGGAAAACATATGAAGTTCACCTTACCTAATGTTCTTCCGTTGATTCCCACCTTTCATGGTGTAACTTTGTCGAGGGAAAAGCAAGGAAATATCAGAGTTATTCTCGTCTTTAGTGATCAAAACTGATAAACTATGATTATCATCATCTGAGACAGCCCCATAGCTCATCACAACAGACATGTGTAAACGTGAACCGATTTCAGCAGCAGTCTGGGCTATGTGCATTATCCCACCAACCAAACCATTGACATATTCCGTGTTTTTCTGACCACTTGTATTTTCCCCAGCTCCAATGTGGACAAAAACTAAATCGAACTGGCTTGTTTCCAAAGTCCTCCTTTCTTGAAACCCAAGAAGCTTCAGTAACTCAGAGGCCACAACATCAGCCGGAGGTTCAGCAAGGGGATCATTGTTGTTGAATAATTCATTCAATTGCAACATCGTGAAGCCAAGTTTGCCTCCAAAAGATTTCATGCTGGAATTGCTTGTAATTATAGCAGCTCTCATTCCCATAAACCTAAAGTCCAATAAAGCACCATGTTGCTTGATATAATCATCGTACATATAAGTACATTTCATAATCATCAATATTACAAGTTTACAACCGTACAAAAACCAAAAGCAATAATACCTCTCTGATATAGTTCTTGTTAAATACTTCTCTTGACATTCTATTTTAGCAGTATCTTCCCCACTCTGGAAAACCATAACAAAGGCTGTAATATACTATTTTTAATGAAACCATAGTTTATAATGCTTAAAGTAAGTGGATCTCACCATATTGGGACTAGCTTCACACACATCCAGTAGCTGTGCAAACTCTCTAACTATTCTTCCTTCTTCGCTTTCTGAAATCTAAAATCCCAGTCAATCCCTAAAGTAATAAATGAGGTATGTAGAAATGTTGAAAATGAATTTCAGGAGTGGACTGAAAGAAGCACAACAGATTCTTTTCTATTCCAGACCAATCACTTTCCAACACAGACAGCAATTAATCCATAAGAGAGTTTTTGGTCAAGTAGCAGAGGTTGCTGTATATGTACATTTGAATCAATAGATGGAAGATGGATGAAAACGAGAGAAAAACAAAGCAATTGAGCCAAAGGGTTTAATGTCTAAAACTAAAAGGAAAACAGTTTCTTCAATAGATTATAGAATATAATTTCACAGGTGAGAAAAAATAACTAGATAAAAAAAATAAAAATAAAAATAAAAAAGAAGAAGAAGTGAGAATGAGCCTATGATACATAAATTAAAGAATTAACAGTATATAAAAGTTGGTGACGGATAAGTAAAACACGAATGGAGATATTGAGACATATTAGTGATAGGGAATGGGATATATGTTAATAGACATGACAATGACAGAGAAACATTAGAAGAAATGTAATAGACAAAAATAGGGAAGATGTGTTTTTTAGAATGAAACACAATTAAGCATCGCTAGTACAACTGACCCAAGAACAATTCGACATAAATTGGACTTTATTTTGTGCCCATGTGAACACCACTATGCCAATTGTGATTAGTTCTTTCTGATGTGAAAACGAATATAGGTTACAACTTCTGAAAATGACTTCAATTTTGGGAAAAATTAAAATTGCTTTCATGTAAAAATTCTAATCAGCGACAAATGCCGGATTAAACAATTTCATTTCCAAACAAATTGATTGTTGTATTTCATAGTTTTCACAATCTCCGATTCATAAAAAAATAAAACCTCCTCTAAGTCTGACCTAGATTAATACACCATTTTGGCCTAATTCTATCAATTAGAAAGCAAAGGATCATAAAACATTCACTTTCTCTAGTTCTCTCAGCAACCAAACAGAGGGCCAGGACTGTTATGTATCTAAAACTATTTATACCCAGCAATTAAATCATAAACAAAGATATGCTAACTTCGTCGTGGGTGTATCTTCATTTTGTTCGTTCTGCATAATTACTATATCAATTCGAAGAACTGAAAAAAATGGAATAATTATTTATAGGAACATAGATATATATATATATATATATATATATATATATGTAAAGGGTCATTAGGATACATACACACATACATGCCTGTGTTCGGAAAGATTTTACCAAAGATGAAAGCTCAAAATGAACAGAGTCGCGTACAAACTGGCAGTCCATTGTCTATATTTGTAATAGGGATAAGTGTGTGTATGTGGTGTGTGTATATAGAGAAGGGGCAAACCTGAAGGAGGGGAATTGGGGAGGGACAAGAAGCCACATAAGCCACGGGACGCGAGGGAATGGAGATGGGTATGTGATGGATTGACGAATTGCGCCAACCCATCACCGTATAACACCAACGCTCTACTCGGCTTGTCTGCCATTTTCTCTCTCTACCAAGCTTTGGTCTCAATTTGAAATTAGACAAGATGGAGAGAGGAGTGATGAGTGAGAAACCGAGTCGTCTTTTGCGATTCAAGGTAGCGTCGATGGTTTTGGAAAAGTAAAGTAATGACGTGGCTTACATCATAGACAGCACAAACAAAAGTAACATACCTGTGGAGGTGAGATTATCAATTTATTTTCTAAAGAAAGTCGTTGGGAAGAAAATGTTGATCAAAGATTCCATATATTTAATGTATTTAAAATTATAATTATAAAATAGTTTTAGATTTTTTTATTTTTTTTTCTTAACTGTACTCACACACACGTGCCTCTACCGAGACTCGAACCCCTGACCTCCTTTTGAAAAGTAAGAATTTAGTACCGTTAAGCCACTGGTCCATTAGTAGTTTTAGATTTTAAAATCATGTTAAGCTCCAATTGTTACACTACCATTCAACCCAACCCTAATTAAGTTTTAAAAAATTTCAGCTGATGTTCAACTCTAATTATCAAAAATAATTGCTCTCGTAGTTACAGATAGTGACTGAAAATGTAATGAAAATTTTCCCATTTGTTTGATAAGAAATGCAAATCGAATATCAATAATTATAATTCTACATGTGAAACATTTCTCAATATCTTAGTTAATTTGTAATAAAAGAAAATTCCATTTCTATAGTTAAAAAGAGATGCTTCTTAGTTGAACATGACTTGTTTATTAAACGAGCTCACGCCAAGCTTTAATCAAGTCGAACCCAAACTGTTTGCGAATAACTCTGTTTGTTTGCAGCCATGAAGTCCATGAAAAAAAACACAAGGGAAGAGGAAAATGAAAGCAGAAGTTCAACTCAAGGTGGCAATGTAGGGCGACTTCCCAATTTTCAACAATCAGCATCCACAGATATATGGATTTACCGGAAACGGGGCAAAAAATTATATACACACAAGGTTAGCCCAAATGTAAAAATAAGGAAGCAACAATACTAAACCTTTCACAAACTCAGTAATCTAATAACATTGTATAATGCAAAGCTTTCAAATTGGATTATAAAAAATCAATGACTTTGTCTATTTTTGGTAAGGAATGAATCAATTGAGACTGTTGTTCTCACTTGCATGAATAGGCAGCACCTCCATGTCTATGCAGGAATTCACTGACATGGATCATAATCATTTCGGAATTCAAATCCGCTAAAGTTGACGGCACTAAGCAGCTCTATCCGAGGCTGCTGAGCTGCTGCTTTGCCACGGATCCCCTTCGTGGAAAAAGAACGCTTTTGAGTCTCAGTCCTCAACCTCGGTGTTGAAAACAAAACTTGGAAATGCAGTTGTGATGTCCCTGAGAGATGAGAATGTTACAAATAAAGTTGGACTGTTTGTCAAGTTTGTCAAGTTTCAACATCAAGTGAACAGTTAGAAAGCACTCTCGAAGAAATCGTTGGTTCGGTTGAAGGGATCAGACCCAATGATTAGAAGTTTCATAATTGCTTTAACTTCTAAACTACCAGTAGCCAATCAAATCCACTCTCATTGTGATGAAAAGTGAGGGAGAAAAGAAAAAGAACATAAAACATGGCTGACGTTTTTTTATTTCCTTTTCTTTTTCCCTTTTGAGAGAGAGAGAGAGAAAGAGCACTGTGGTTGCTAAATAAAATAATAGATAGAGTGTGGGAAATATGGTGAGTCATACACGATAATTTTATTATAGATCTGTGGAAAACTAAAAGGAAGGGGGAAAAGGGGCAATACAAAGCCATAGGAGCAAGTAGCATACTTCAAATAAGGAAGAGTCATGTTCTTCAGGATGGTGGGGTGTCTGATAACAAAATCCTTCCATTCTTCTTTACCGATTTTACCATCCCTGTCAGCATCAGCATCAGCAAACGTCTGCGGAAAATGAATACAGTTTGGTTGTAATATGTTCGAAAAGATGAGCAATAATTATAAATAAAAAATAAAAATAAAAAAGGAAAAGGAAAAATCCTAGCTTGGACTAACTAATACCTTGTCAATGATATCCTCAAGAAGTTCTTCTGACAGATTCATATCAGATTCCGTCAGAATTGCAGTTACCATTTGCTTAACCTGCAAGCATTTGTTACAATATGTTCTCTTAGCTTCCATTGGTTATAATAGCGTTGGATAGAACATGAATAGCTTATTCTGGGACATCCTTAAATCATGATTTACTAACCAAAAATATGACAACCAATATATAATGGAACTGATAGTGTGGCACTATCGAGGGAATAAGTGACAATGATATATTTGGAGAAATAATGGGGGAACAAAAAGTCTAATAGAATCCTACTTTTTCATTGGGCTCTGCAACCATGTAGGCCAATCATTCCAAACTGCTCTGGACAGAAAGAGAGATCTCATTATGCATATAATTAGGCTCTAAACATAAATCCCAGGTCCTGAGGGTCATCCAAAGTGTTAGAGAGACGAGAAGCATGACTAAAAGGATAAGTGATTCTCTTCTAGACTTCTGAAAAAATTCAGTTGATCAGGAAGCTATCTGGGCACATGCAGGAATAAGAGAGGAATGTATACAATCAGTGCACCATTTAAGCAACATGAACTAATCAAAAAAAAAAAGAAGCAACATGAACATTCAGTCCATCAGAAAAAACTAAAAGCATGGGAACCCAAGCAAACTTCCTTCAACAGAAGTGCTCACATCCGATTCTGTAATTCACGTATCCATTCATATGCGAGAACTTCAAACAGAATTCAAAGCTGAAGTATGGGACAAGGAAAATGCATTCTTCTTTACAAGAGTGCCAGTGCGAACCCCCCCACAACAAAAAAAAACATTTCCTGACCAGTTCGGGCAATCTTCTCCGGGAATAATATTTGTTTGCATGGAGTCGATTTCATAGTCCAAGCACCCAAGAGAAGAGTTAATATGACATGTTTCATGGACTAAAAAAGTAAAGTTATTGCACAACCAGCGCATCATCCCCCAACCCAATGACCAAAAAAATGCAAGCAGCCTATTTATCTGGTGGCAACTTGACTTAAAAATACAAGCAGCATTTAGAAAGAAGAAGCTTTGATATATCCAAATTGGAATTAATTACAGCCCCCCCGGGCAACCAAAAGAAGGCAAGAAGCCTATCTATTTGCCCAAGAGAAGAGTTAATATGACATGTTTCATGGAATAAAAAAGTAAAGTTATTGCACAACCAGCGCATCATCCCCCAACCCAATGACCAAAAAAATGCAAGCAGCCTATTTATCTCGTGGCAACTTGACTTAAAAATACAAGCAGCATTTAGAAAGAAGAAGCTTCGATATTTCCATATTGGAATTAATCACAGCACACACACCCCCACACCCCCGCCCCCCGCGCGTGCATGAGGGGCGACCAAAAGAAGGCAAGAAGCCTATATACAAGCAGAACTAAGAAAGTGGTGATAACTAATAAGCTTTAATACTTCCACGTTGGAATTAATTACTAGTTCTATTTCAATACAAAATTATTTTTAGGGGAATCAGTTAAAAGCTTAAAAAAACAATACATGAAATGAGGGCATGTAATAACTATAATTTTACAGGGCAAACAACAGCTTAGAAATTACTTCTAGCATTTTCTTAGATATACCTATAGCATTTTCTCAGGTATACCTAAAGTATAGTGCACTTACTTCTTCTCGCTCAATAAACCCAGTTTGTCTCAGATCATAAAGCCTGAATGCAACTGCAAGGCATCAACAAGAAATGTATATGGGTTGTAGTTCATAATTGAGATGTAATTGATTGTATGAACTAAAATATTGCATTCAGTCTCTTACAATCTATCTTGTCTTCCACTGGAGCATATGGATGGAATACATTGAGTGCATGGACAAATTCATCAAATTCAATGACGCCATTTTTCTTTTCATCAAAAAGATAAAAAACCTAAAAGCAAGAGCAAATGGTTGAGAAGTGTGTCACCTTAGGTAATGCGGAGTTATTAGCGTAAATCCCATGAAGAAGGAATGATAAAATGGAAATGGCATTTCTTAGTGTTCATTTGGAATTCTAAAAAGTAACAAATATTGTATATACACGCATTCAACTTCGGATCCCAAAGGCACCCAAAAAATAGATCTAAAACTATGAAAACTTTTACATGGAGTTCACAGATATACATTTTTTACTGCCTTATTCCCTTTTCTTTTTATTGTTCTTTTTTTAATAACAAGCTTCTTGTCAAAGAAAGTTCTTCATTTGATCTTCTGAGTGGCATTTAGTCATTACACACAATCAAATTCCAATAAATGCTAACTTGGGGGTTCATATGCTAATAATACCATTTCTTATTTTGATCCAAGCAATTGAAGTGATGTTTTTCAATAATTAATCATAGAATAGGGAAATAAAGGCATTTACCCGGTCTAGAAAAAGATTCTCGCCATATGGAGTCCTGAATATTGCCAATTGAAGCTCTTCCTACAAAGTGATTAACATTGAAGAAAAATAAGCATAGACCCAGAGTACAAAACTTTGTTTTGTGATGTGTATATATGAGTAAGTTGCTTATCAGGGACAAGTTTGCTTTTGCAATTTTACAGAACGCTCACAGTATTATTAAAGTTCAGCTTTACATGGATAAGATTCCAGAAAGATTGATGAAAACCTTATGGAATTGGTCTGTGTAAAAATTAACAATTAATTAGATCCACTTCCTATCAAAAACCTGGCATATAATGCAAAATTACATCATACAAATAAAATATCTAGAGTTTTCCTTGGGAGTGTGACATGGGTTACTTCAGCGCCATAGTGCCTGGTCTTGAACAGTAGCTCGAGGCATTTTCTCTACCCCTTCTTACTCTGAAAAAGCGGGGCCACCTTACGTCCTTGAACCAATAACCATCTTTTGGCATTATTAACCTTGCTTTTCATGAATCTGGCTCTGATGATCACATTAATCATCAAGGAAGTTACCAATCAGTAACCAAAGCAACATTGTACATTTGGTTGGTTGCTGGAATAAAATTTCTAAATTAAATTAGTTTCATGGTTCCAATAATCTACTGACCTGTGGAACCCAAAGGAACTTGTGAAAACTAAACAAAGGTAACTTAAAAGGGGGAGGAAGACATAAGGAATACATGAAACTCCTCATGGAGAAAGACCCAGAAACCCCTCTTATGTTTTTGAGGAATATACTCTCTATTAAGTGTGCCAGAGAAGACCTACTCATGTGTCCTGAAAAAAAAAAAAAAAAAAAAAAACCATCTCACTAGACTACATCTATTGTCTATGAGCCCATTTACTGTATCTCAAGTCAACAAACTACATTTTCAAGAATGCCCATTTATCTACAAGAAAATTGCCAACTTAAGATTGGGGGGGAAGATTCCACTTTTCTATCACAAGTTTAACAATAGTCCCTTGATAGAAAATCATCACTTATATAGTGAAACCACCAATTTAACCTTGACTTGAACCATGGAAAAGTTAAATGCCTTCCAAACTTCTCTACTTGAGCCACCACATCCTCCCTTAATGTGCATCTTCCATATGCTAGTATGATCTACTTCCATTTTTCTATCCAAAAGCGCTCAAAGCTTAACCACATGCTTACATGCATTCAAAAGAATCAATTTATCCACTATCGTCACACCCTTGAAAGTAGCCTGAAATTCCTTCTTCACCCATGAGTAGAAGGGAACAACTAACATTAAAAAACTTCTGAAATTTCAAGTCTAAACTATAAATTAGAACAAACGCTACAAACTCCAGTTTGTTCTACAAAATTTGAACATAAATCCTACTGACCTAACAAATTCAACTTCCATGAAGATTTGGACATCAACCGGCAATATATACTTCATATTCAACAACGCCCAAAGTCAATTCTACAACTTTATTTACTAGATTTATGGAAAGACAATGTTTTATAAGTCCAGTCGCCGTCAAGCAAACTCAAGCACAGTGCTTTGTGGGGCCCACCAAGCTTCGTAGACAGTGTCAGCCTACCAAGCATTTTCCTTAGTGGATTAAGCAATTCCTTTTTCCTTATCCACGTGATTCATAAACAAAAAACTCCCTCGCCTCTATTAAACCAAGATTCTTGAACCAAACTCTTCGCTTTTAATCTCCAACATTCTTTCTTACATTGAGCAGTCACCCCACATTACTGATGTGGACTTATTAGTGGGCCATTATTCTAAAGAGAGCTTTTTTCCCTTGGTTGTCACTTTGCTATAAAGACTTTGCTTCGTAGACAGTGTCAGCCTACCAAGCGTTTTCCTTAGTAGATTAAGCAATTCCTTTTTCCTTATCCACATGATTCATAAAAAATAAAAAATAAAAAAAAATAATAAAAACTCCCTTGCCTCTATTAAACCAAGATTCTTGAACCAAACTCTTCGCTTTAATCTCCAACATTCTTTCTTACATTGAACAGTCACCCACATTACTGATGTGAACTTGTTAGTGGGCCATTTTTCTAAAGAGAGCTTTTTTCCCTTGGTTGTCACTTTGCTATAAAGACTTGGTATCATGCAAACTATCTAAGGATGAATTCATTCGCAGTTCACAATTACATGGTAAACTACTTACCATTTATACCAAAAGTGTGCCATCCAAGTACAACTTCCAACTTGTAACCATGTTCTCCAAACTTTCCGTGACTACACAAAAATGTGGCCACCTTATCCTTTTCATCCATCTTCTTAACAATGCATTTCATTTGGCTAATGTTTTAAAATCATTCAACTTTTGATCACCAATTCAACCATATAAATAATTTGATTTTCTTCTTTTGGAGATCCAATTTGTCAAAGATTTTGATTTGTATAAACTCTACAACTTCAACCATTCTCCATGGAATTTTTTTTACAAATTCTATTGGCCGATGTTTCTTTCGATTAATTTTGGTTTAATAGAGGAAAGGGAGTTTTTGTTTATGAATCACGTGAATTTGGTGTATCTTGCAGAAGTTGTTAGTGGGCCATTTTTCTAAAGAGAGCTTTTTTCCCTTGGTTGTCACTTTGCTATAAAGATTTGGTATCATGCAAACAATCTTAAGGATGAATTCATTCGTAGTTCACAATTACATCGTAAACTACTTACCCTTTTTACCAAAAGCATGCCATCCAAGTACAACTTCCAACTTGTAACCATGTTCTCCAAACTTTCCGTGACTAAACAAAAATGTGGCCACCTTATCCTTTTCATCCATCTTCTTAACAATGCACTCCATTTAGATAATGTTTTAAAATCATTCAACTTTTGATCACCAATTCAACCATCTATAAATAATTTGATTTTCTTCTTTTGGAGATCCAATTTGTCAAAGATTTTGATTTGTATAAACTCAACAACTTCAACCATTCTCCATGGAAATTTCTTTACAAATTATATTGGACGATGTTTCTTTCGATGGGCAAAATGAAATGCCATATAATAGCACAACATCTTAAGTTAAGCTCTTTCCATGCATCTTCTATGACAGTCATGCCTTCTGAAATGAACTAACAAACAATTCAATATAGCCATCAAACTCCTAATTCAAACTGGTTGCTCACCACTATTCAGTCAAACCCTGTTTTAAACAATTTGCCTAACATGTTGTGTAAACAGTTTGTACACCAAGGAATGAACGAACAAGTCAACAATCACCTTTACATGCAATGCTTGGATGCTCTAATACCTTGAAAGCAAACCTATCAGCTTCAAATACCAGTTATTGAGAATCCAGTCGCCAAAATCAAATTTCTGAACTAATATTAGTTCTTTGATCAGTAGCTGGCTAAAACCCTCAAAGCTCTTCTGCGAGATACACCAAGTGAAATGGAGAAAAATAATAAACCACAAGCTGTGCACAAGAGATGTGCATGCTCTTAGTCCACGAGAAAGCGGCAAGAGAAATTTCAGTCCCCTGTTGGAGAATTTACAAGGAGATGGATAGGGAACTCACTATCGCATACCTTTTAACCCGACACTCCAAATCCAACTACCAAACCAAAAGAAACTTGAGTTGGAATGACAATGGAGAGAACAAGAGAGACGAAATCTCTAACACCTTCACTTGAAAGTGATTTCACAACACATTTTCCTTCAAATAGCACATCATGCCTTTATGAAAATGAGCAAACCCTTTTAAACCAAGAGAGCAAGTAACATGGGAGTGGGCACTCTATTTTAAATAAAAATAAATAAATATTATGCTAATGCCCTTGGTAATCGATGTACTAATTTTCACAAATATCTAGATGAGCAAACATTTCCCAAATTTCCTTCGGACATATAGGGATGGGGATATGCCGCCTATGTGAATAAAGAAAGATCCAATTTGTTTATTTGAGTGTCAACTGAAATCCTAATTTTTTGAATCAAAGTGTCAAGGAAAGCGCGCACAATAATTTGACACTTCCAAAATGCAATAATCTCAATTCTGAAACCATGTAAAACCCAATTGAGACGCTTACAATATATTAAGAAACCTAGCTGAAATGGCTTGCAGTTTTAATTAATACTACACCTATTTATTGTCTGAGACACTGAATACAACATGAATTTCAAACTACTAACTTGCAATTAAACATATTGTTATAAAATCCTTTCACAAAAACTGACACCAAAAATTAAAAATTAAAAATAAAAAATAAAAATTTTGATTGTATTAAAAATTCAATATACCTTGTGTATTAGGCCATCGTCAATAATTGAACAGCTTAACTTTTTAAACAGCTCATAGAGTGCCTCCACTTCATTAACAGTGACTGGAACAATATTAATAAAACAATGATTTAGCTTTCAATTCAAAATCGAAACAACAAATTGCAGTGAAACAAAAGTTATATAAAATCACATCGAGATTCATCAGCGAGTCGAGAGAAATCACAAAAACCGTATCGCCATTTCCTGGGGCGTTGGCTGTATTGGAAACAGCCAGATACGACGAGTGTCAGAGCCTCGATTATGGCGACAAATGGTATGAATGCAGCACATATTCGTTCCCCTATTGTTAGAGAGCTCGATCTCTGTAATTACCAAAAATCAATCATACAATAAACATACATACAGTATACACATGTTTGTGTATAAGCAGAAGAAACTATCATGTGAAAGGGATGTTAGAGAGAGATTTTTATTTACCGAATAATCCATTGTTCTATGCAACAGCTCATCACGTATTTTCTGTCTTCTCCTTCTGGATGTAAAGCTTTCTGTCTCTCTAAAATGTTCTCTCTACACGGTCTCCATCGTTGCGTGTCAACGCGCTCGCTCTAATCCTATACGGAACATTAGATCTTATCTTGGGCCGTGTATGGTAACCAAAAAAAAAAAAATCTGATAACATTTCTTGTGAAAAAAATAGGGTTTTATGATCCATGATTGCCGATTGCTGTGATTTTTATATCAGCAATAATGATGAACACTGATTCATAATGAGGTGGCACTGGCCAATAAGGTTTTGTACCCACTGATGTGTAAAGTCAAGCTGTCATTCAGAATTGGATGTGATTACGTGTAAGGGACCATGATGTAGGTCTACAATCTCATAAATTCTCCTTATATATATATATATATATATATATTAATATTACTAATAAGTTAATAACACTCTCACAATCTTCCATTGCTACAGGTTTATGCTTTTTCTAATTGAGACAATGCCAATGTTAAGCTAGCTTGTGTTTTAAGAATAGCAACTATGGAGTATATCTCATGGGAGAAATTTTTACATCACAAAGGATATATGATATGGAGTAGTCTAATTGTTATATATATTTTACTCCCGTCAAATATATTTTATGTCCTTTCATTTTAATATATATTTTAAAACTTTTTATTATTTTTTTTTATGTCCTTTCATTTTTCTCTTTTTTTTATTTTTTTAATAATGTGTGATTTCTTTGCTCTTTTTCTATTTTGTTTCCTTTCAATTCTTCCTAATACCCGAAAGCATTTTTAAATTACTCGCGGGCTAAAGTAAAATAATAATTTACTAGGATAAATTAGACAATCTGACAGCCTCCTCCTACACATTAGCAATGACACTCATTTTTTGGAATATATATATATATATATATATATATATATATATATATCTTATTTGAATGTTTTAAGTAATATGATATAAACCATTAACTTTAATTTATTAAAGTGACACGGGATGACATGTGAAGTGCACGTGTTAGTCACCACATTTCATATTTTTCCTTATTAATATATTTTATGATACCCACTTTTGTTTTTTTAATGGTTGTTGTCAATCTTTACCGGATTGGATCTGTTCATGTGTTTAAAGGGCTTGAGACAAAATGGAATGTTTGTTTAGACTGTATTTAGATATAAATCTTTTAAATCTATGCTGAGATTGCCCTTTGTCAACAGCTAGTCTCAAAGTGAGGGTATACTAATTATAATTTTTTTTACCCTTTTAAATTAGATTATTATTATTATTATTTAGAGTTTAACACAAACTTTACTCGTATTTAACTCAAACTAGCACCGATCCAACTTCAGCAAATCACAAGCTCACGATGCCAAATAATATTATGTTGCGTTTGTTTGGTATATAATTTAAAATGGCAATGACCATTTCATTTGAATGAAAATATATTTCTGGAAATGAAAATCCATTTCACAACTAAAACTATGGAATGGACATTCCATTCCTTATTAAATTTTTTTAAAAAAATCAACTTCCAAAAAAATCCTCATATTCCAAATCAAAAAGCCATCACTACCTTTCACCACGACCACCTTCGCCTTTCACCACTACCACCACCTTTGTAATACCCCTAATTTTAAAAGAATAGTCTCGGTATTTTGATTAAAGATTTTATTGCATTTTCATTAAATTATTTGCTTATTTGTTTATTTGTTTAATTGGTTAATTGTGTATTTATTTAAATTAATTGTTTAATTGTAATTGTGTATTTATCTAAATTCATTGTTTAATTATTTATTTAATTTAATTATTTGGTTAATTGTTGATTTAATTGACTTGTTTTATTTAATAGCTTATATGATTTATTTGTTTTAATTCTGTGTATGCTTAGGTGAACTTAATTGGTTTATAATTTATATGTGTCGTATATAGTTTAGGTTTAGGGTTTTTCTTTTATGAGGTTATATTAGCCGACTTATAATTAGGTTAGAATTAGAAGTAGGTTTTATAGAAGCCTGTATATATATAAGTTAAGTGTCTGCCAAGGGTTTTAGAACCCTATTCACGTACTGTAAGGCAGAAAGAAACAAAGAGGGGTTTGAGAAGAAAAGAGAGAGAACTTGAGAGAAACATAGAGAGGCTCAAGGAGGAAAGAAAGGGTGTTGCTCATGGGTTAACCAAGAAGCAACAGAGGAGGAGAACAGTCTTGGGATTTGTCGGAACTCAGAGACAGTGGTTTAAGGTTTCAAAACTGAAACCAAAGGCAAGTTTTATTCTAACTCCTTCCCGTAAACCTGTGTTCTATGCATATTATATAATCTCCAAGAATTAATTCCAACTTTAAAACGGATGTTTGATGCATGTTACATCAGACTGTAAACTATTTTATGTTTAATTAACTAAAATTATTTTTCTTGCATAAACTATTTCGATTATGTTTTAAATTTTTGTCAAGCAATTCGTTTTGTAATTTGAGGAGTTTCTAGGACTTTTAGGACTTAAATTGGATCCTAAAAACTTTAAAAAATTGGGACAGAGGACCTGACCTTCGCCGGAAGCGAAGAAGAAGAACAGAGGAAGAGTAGCACGGCTCTCAGGGAGATAGCCAACTCCCTGGGTAAGAGAGCCGGCTCTCCATAAGGGAGAGCCGGCTCCCATGAAGAGGGAACCGGCTCCCTTGCTGTAACACCCATATGGGTGCATTTTCTGATGACAGACGGCTAAAATATAATTCTGAAACTTGTTTGGGGGTTTTTAAATAATGTATAGAACATACTTAAGACCCAGGAATGTTGGTTTATACTGTGGTAATGGACTTCATGAAATTTAAATACTAATTTGCATGTTGTCACGGAATAAGGAAGTTTTATTGCTAGTGATTGTTTTAGCAAATTAAACAGACAAATAGGAATGTATTTTTGGAATTTGAATGTTATGTGCTTAGTTTATACTTCTGAATATCATTATATCATGCTCTTGATTCATAATTGAGGATTAAATGGATATCATGAAATTCATATATTAATTTGCATGCTGTTAAGGATTGTGGAAGATTTAATTGCTAATTTTATTTTAGCAAATTAAATGGACTAGTATGAACGTATTTTTGGGATTTTGGTATAATGTGCTCAGTTTATATTTCTAATTATCATCATAACATGCCATAGATTTTAATTGATGAACGATTATAATTTATGTTCTGTCAATTATATGGATATAGATAGTCTAAATTGTTTATCATTACTCTAGCAGTTTAAACGGAGGTTATATGACTATAATCATATATTGGATGCATAAGAGGATCTTGTATCTGACTTCTATTATATTTGTCTCTGGATGTATTTGATGTTCGAATGAGTGTGCATCATTTATGGATTATATGCACCGGTATGGGACAGTGGCATATTAGGGATGGATTAGATCAAAATATTAATTCCTACCTATCTATACATATGAAATGGATTAACTAAAGCAGTTAAATTCTACATGGATTCATGTCTTGTCAACTAAAACAGTTGAACAACATATCGGATGTTTGTTTTATATTCTGTATTAGGAAGGATTTATATATATGATTATGGTACCGTGATATGAGCTTGAGTCTCAGGCTCATGGTTAGGGTGCGTATATCACCTAAGTTGTTGTTCCCTGGTAGGTCTAGGTATACATGACCACGTTGCGTGCGATTTGCATGTTACCTTCTACTCAGGTTGAGACAGAACTGTGGGCTAGTGAGCGTCCTATAGTGTGTATCTATATCTATATAGACTACTTAGTTATTGTTGAGCTATCTAGGATGTATCTGTGAATCGAGTTTCTGTATAGATTGTAGTAGAATAGAATTTGTACGTGGATCTGACCTACTCTTATATTTTTCCAGGTGTCCGTCAGTTCCAGGCTTAGAGCTTGATCGTGCTGAGCAGATATAGTCACTCATTCATTCGACTACGCAGAACTGCTTTCCATGTTTAGCTTTGGATTTTGTTTCAGTTGTTTCTTTTTCAGTTTGGGATTTTAATAGGGGTCCACAAGATGGATTCCCGAGTTGTTTAATTAATGAAGGTTTTTAATTATTGGATTTCAATAATATAATTTTGAGGATTTTTAATTTAGAATTCTTTTAGCTTTATTATTTTATTCTTATTTCATTTTTGTATTCTGTACTTATTTACATATTAATTGTTTGGTATCCCTCGGATCTGTGCTCGGACTTGATCACTTGTGGCTCTAAAATAGAGAGATATCATAGCCTTCCACCACCACCACCACCGACTTTCACTATCGTCCACCACTTTTCACCACTGACACCGCATTCATTTACCGCAACGGCCACCACTTTTCACCATCGCTACCACCACTGCCTTCCACCACCACCATCGCTATCGCCTTTCGCCACTGCCGCCACCACCACCGCCGCCTTTTACCATAGCTATCGCCTTCCACCACCACCGCCACCTTCACCACTACTACCACTTTCCGCCACCGCCACCGCTTTCAGTCGCCACTTCCTTCCAATTCCACCACCGCCTTACACCACCACCGCCGCAGCTACCACTACCACCACCTTCCATCACCACCGTCTTCCACCACTACCACTGCCACTGACTTCCACCACCGCTTTCCACCAACGCTTTCCACCAACGCCACCGCCACTGTTTTCCACTAACACCACAGTCACCTCCATTGGCTTCCACCACCACTATCTACACCATTATCTCCTTCCACCACCACCACTGCACTATTGCCATCGCCTTCCACCAACATCGCCGTCGACGCCTTCCATCATTGCCACCATTACTGCCTTCCAACACCACCACCACCATCGTCACCACTACCACCATTGCCACCGTTTATTTTTAAAAAATTATTAGAAAATGTCATTTTGTTAATTTAATTTATTTGTTACTAAGAGGGATATTGTGATACCCCTGGATTTCTAAATGCGGGTTGGCCAGGCCCACGCCCAAATACTCGAGGATATAAAAAACAATGGGTAATAATTGAACACAGAACACAAATATAATAAGTAAGAATAAATAAAATGTTAAAAAGAAACTAAAATGATAATCCAATAATTGATCCAAAAAACTTTCATTAATAAACAACCTCTTCTGATACAAGTAATCCTCCAAATAATAATACAACTCGGGAATCTATACTATGTGGACCCCTAGAAATCCCAACTGAACAAACCGATATAAAAAGGAAAATCAAAACTAAAACATAAATAATAGTCCTACGTAGT